TTTCTTATTTTCTGAATTTGTCTTGCGGCCGCTGACACCCAGAAGACAATCTAGCAATCAGAGTGGTAAACACACATTATTATTTATTATTTGAGTCGATATAATGTTCCACACTGTCATAAGGAGGGTTTTAAATTAAAAGTTGGATGTGGCCAGCATGTACTCACCTGAAAATAACTAACAATCAGAACTCCTAATCCAATTCCAACATAGTAATATGCAAACATGGTCATCTGAGCTTCAATATCCACCCTGCCAAGAGAATACAATGAGTACCAGCAGCTTTTCACTGGAACAACAAACAGCATTTAACTACTGACTTACCCACAGCGCACAGTGTTGTTTTCAGCTGTTTCATATATGGAGCCATTTATCCAGCAGATGGTGTTGTTGTTGCATTCCTTGTTCGGGTCTTTCAGTTCTTGGACTTCCCGCTCATAAGCCACAAACGTGTCTGTCATCATGCCGTACACAAGGAGCATGAGAGGTGAAGCTGCACCGTGTACGAGGGCACACAAACCCCCCACCACCATCATCACTGTGTCTTTCCATGTGGCGAATCGAAACTGCAAAGAGGAATTTTAAGACTCTTTTAATAAAGTAGTTTGCAGCCAATCTTTATTTTTTCTTGACTTTTATTGATCAAACTAAAGAAAAGTGCATTGATCTACAGAAAATGACTCAGATTAAAGTAGCCTACTATTACAATAATGTAAAAAAGCCCATAAAAAGTAAAAGCCCTACAATTAGAGTAGTACTCAGGTAAAAAGTACATGAGTATTGTAAGCAAAATTGACTGATATATTACAACATAATACATTATGAGATTGTTCATACTGATAAATTAGTGGGCATGTATTATTTTACTGTTGTAACAGTTTGAAGTGGAGGTAGTTTTAACTACTTTATATACAGGTAGGTAATCCACTGGTATTTGTTTTCATATTTTGGACTTGGAGTGGAGTAAAAAGTATATTTCTCTCTGAAGTTTCATCAAATAGAAATACATCAAACTTTAACTTGGGTCCAGTATTTGAGTAAATATATCTTCATCATCCTAAATAAACCCACCTGTTTAGAATACATCCCAGCATTTTAATGCACTTACTGTAAGTTACTTTGGACAAAAGCATTGGTCAAATTAATGCAAAGTAAAATCCTACTGAGTTATTTTCCATATGAGTAAAAACACAATATTTACCAGCTGAAAGTATCCAACACTCTGTGGTTTTTCTTTTTTTCTCTCATCTCTGTAACACAAATCAAAGTAAGACCCAGGAATATTAAGATACAATGTGGTCTGAAACACAGCATATTGTAGTAAATGTAAATATACCCACTTACCCATTCTCAATGTCTGATAAAGAAAAAGAAAAGACTGTTTAGAGTCACTTGTAATTATTATTTTATTTATTTACAAAACTTTACTATTATTGCATCAATTTTTTGTTTATTTGCAATGAAAATAGATCAATTACCTCTTTTATCAACTGCTGGTGTTGTTGGAAATTTGACCGATTTCTTCATGTTTGCTGCCCTGACTCAGGCAGGCGTGTCCTCGCCCGGTAACTCTGGAAGAAGAAATACATATTATAATTAAATATATTATAATAATTTAAATGTTACTCGTAAAACATTAAGTTAATATTTACTCAGACTGTGTTACTGTTTAATTTAATGACATCATCTGACGAGACAGGCATTTTGAAAACATGTGAGTCCATTTGAAGAGACATTTTTATTAACACAGTGTAGAAATTGATGTTGGAAGAAGAGTATTACTGTACCTGGACTTCTCACTGAATGTCTGGTTTCTTCAGAAACCCACCAGCACCTCTGAGCCTCATCGTAGTAAATTCTTATTATCTTATTTTCAGGTAACCTATGCCTGTCCTTTCCCATTATCTACACCCCAATTAGACTGATAAGGGCTGTGTCAGCTGTGTGACTGTTTCTAGAGTGGCTCTGAAAGGCTAAACTAACTTAATGTGCTTTAACTACTACTGTAGTTATCTTTAAAAACAAACCTGTGATTTATAAAATGTGAACTTTACTAACATTGCATGGTTAGAAAAAAGCATTCTTTGGTATAATAATGTGTTATTATATTCATATGTTATTATAAGTGATTGTAAAATGGGTTTAATGACCTTAAGGCCATTAGCTGCGGTCAGGTGCTGTCTCAATACATCCAATTAAAATTGTCTTGGATTGTGACATTTGGCCCCTATTTTTCATTAGAAGTCATTAGAATGGCTTCAGTGAAGCTTTAATTAATAAAGATTTAATGACTTAAATTCGTCTTAACAAGGTTAAATAAGAAAACTGATTTTAGGGAAAGGGAACACGTTATATTCATTTTTCATTTCAAATTTCATCCTTTGTTTCTATCACATAATTGTTTCAACATTGTGTGGAGTTTCCTTATTTCACAAGTATTGATACACAAAATATGAATATTTAAAATCTGCGGTTTACTAAAAGTGGAAATGGAGACACAATAATAGCAATAAAGCAGATGTTTGGGGGGTTAATGCCCGCTAGGACAAGTAGTAAAGAGGAGTTTGCTCCTTCTTTACAGCCGGTTATTATTCACAACACAGGTGATTGATAATACGACAGGAAGGAGGGGCAGACACACACCGTGATAACAAACTGACTCACAGAGCTCAGGGCTGAAACCTGCACTATCAACGAGTGGAGAACATCCAGAAAAGTATAATCTAGAATATATAATAAGAGTATATTTATACTTGGCATGCCTTTTGTGTATTCAGGAGTAGAATATTAAAGTTTTTGATTACTTTTGGCAGCCAAAATATTTTATATTTAATGGGTGCAGTGAAAGTAGTGAAAGTAGTCTATTTACACAGCCAAACCTAATCAATAATACATTAAAATGTTCAATATATTCATCTAAAAATAGCATTTTATTTGCCAGTTACCACTTGCTCTAATATACTGCCTGAGTATTTATATATATGTGTATATATATATATATATATATATATATATATATATATGTGTGTGTATTGAAATATATGTATATGTATCTATAATATATTTATCTAGAGGTCTATCTATCTATCTATCTATCTATCTATCTATCTATCTATCTATCTATCTATCTATCTATCTATCTATCTATCTATCTATCTAGCTATCTATAACTCTCTGCTCCACAGGGAACTGTTCTTTCCCCCTTTCTGTTCACCCTGTACACCTCAGACTTTCAGTTCCTCTCTGAGTCCTTCCACCTGCAGAAGTTTGCGGACGACTCTGCAATTGTTGGCTGTGTCAGTGAGGGGAAGGAGGAGGAATACAGGGGCGTTGTGGACTCCTTCATCGAGTGGTTTGCAACTAACCATCTGCATCTCAACCCCACCAAGACTAAGGAGCTGGTGGCGGATTTCCGCAGGAGGAAATCTGCCCCCACACCCATCTCCATCAACGGTGTGACTGTGGATGTTGTCCAGGATTACAAATACCTTGGAGTATACCTGGATAACAAACTGGACTGGGCCAAGAACACTGAGGCTGTTTACAAGAAGGGCCAGAGTCGACTCTATTTCCTGAGGAGGCTCCGGTCATTCAACTTATGTTACATCATGCTGAAGATGTTCTACCAGTCGGTGGTAGCCAGTGCCATCTTCTTTGCTGTTGTGTGCTGGGGCAGCAGGCTGAGGGCAGCAGACGCCAACAAGATCAGCAGGATCACCAGGAAGGCTGGCTCCGTCCTGGGGGTCCAATTGGACTCTTTGGTGGTGGTGTCTGAGAGGAGGATGCTGTGTAAACTGCACAGTATCCTGGACAACAACGCTCACCCTCTCCACCAGGTGCTAACCTCGAGCAGAAGCACCTTCAGCAACAGACTCATTCCCCCCCGGTGTAACACTGAACGCCAGAGGAAGTCTTTTCTTCCTGTGGCCATCAGACTGTTTAACTCATCTACCTCCGGTCGTGAAAGGGACAGTGGAGACACTGTGTCCTGAGCCAAATGTCACTTTGTCACTTTATAATTTTTACCCATCATATTACTTCATCACTTTATTTTGTGTTTACTATGCTGATACAATTTTGTCACTTTATCACAGTTTATCACTCCAAACAATTGCTCACTAGATTTAGTTGTACTTATTTTATTTCCATTTATGCGGCTAACTGTACAGTGCGTATTGTTGTATATTATATATACCTACGTTAACTGTCATTTCTGTGGCATTGTTGCATTTAGTTACTGTTGTATTTTATTTTAAGTTAGCTTTATCCTATTGTGCTTTGCACTTTGTTGCATTTTGTTACTTGTTTTATTTTTATGATAGCTTGATTCTTACTCTTGTGTTACTTCTCCACTTTTGTATCGCAAGTGTTGCACAGCAATTTCCCTCGGGATTAATAAAGCTTCTTGAATCTTCAATCTATCTATCTATCTATCTATCTATCTATCTATCTATCTATCTATCTATCTATCTATCTATCTATCTATCTATCTATCTATTTATTTATCTATAATCTATCAATCTATAATCTATCTATTTATAATCTATTTATCTATTTATTTATAATCTATCTATCTATTTATTTATCTATAATCTATCTATTTATAATATATCTATCTATTTATTTATCTATAATCTATCTATCTATCTATCTATCTATCTATCTATCTATCTATCTATCTATCTATCTATCTATAATCTATCTATAATCTATAATCTATCTATCGATCTATCTATTTATAATCAATAATCTATAATCTATCTATCTATCTATCTATCGATCAATAATCTATAATCTATCTATCGATCTATAATCTATCTATCTATCTATCTATCTATCTATCTATCTATCTATCTATCTATCTATCTATCTATCTATCTATCTATAATCTATCTATCGATCTATAATCTATCTATCGATCTATAATCTACCTGCAGTACCACGCAGTGTCCAGCAGATGACGCTGTTTCTGATTGTATCTGTCTTCTTCAGACCGGAAGTGTGAACCGGAAGTTGCGGTAAAATACAAATTCTACCAAATAAAGTTTAAAAAGAAGTTCAGAAAGGAAACAAACTTAGTGTCCCTCTCCTCCTTCTCCTCGGTGTCTGAAGTTCACCCTCCTCCCTGATCGATGGCTCTGACTGCGGAACACACGTAAGTAGTTTGTGTTTCCAGACGTATTGATCGATCAATCGATCGATCCAGACTGAATGAATCTCTTACATCCGACAATATTTGAGATATGTGAGATTGTAATCTGTATTGAGTATTAACACCTGTTGTGTGCTGGTTTCAGTCTGTGATCGCGGTCAGACACTAAATCAGCTCAACACAATAAATCTGTGAATGAATCATTAGTGCAACAGAACCGATCGATCAATGAAGAAATCTGATCAATGTGATTAAAGACGAACCAGCTGAGGGGTTAGGGTCAGTGGGCTTCTCCCTAAAGTGTCTTATATGAGTTATTGATTATCAGAACTGTTGTTTTAACCTTCAGAGTATTGACAAACACAGGAAGCGTTTATTATAACACCACCAGAGCCGGTCCTGATCTCCCTGGGGGCCCGAGGGCCCGAGGGCCCCTCCCACCGGAACCGGCAACTATGTCAACTATTTGCCACACCTGAACTACAACCTCTCCCACAAAGAATGAGGAATTAACTCCTCTATTTAAACAATAGGTGAAGTTTCTGTTGGATATTAAGTTGATTTCTTTACATTAATGTTGTTATTGACAACAACAACTGAGACTGTGTTCTGTTTATTGGTAATTAGTCCTCACAATATTATACAATTAGCTTTGATTTTACAATTTAAACTGGATTTTATGAACTATATAAAGTATAATTAAAACCATGACTCGACTGAATACCTATTCACTGAGAGATGTTGCGCTCTAATGTAAATTGTAGTATTTAATCAGTAACTAACCCACTCTCACTGTGAGACCTGAATGCCCCGCAGTGAATGCTGCGTTCAAGTGACGTTGGCATAATCAGAAAAACTCTCTCTGACTGGGAAAATTCAAGAATACCCCCTCATGTCGGAAAAAACCTCGTTAACTCGGTCATAATTTTAGTAGTTGCTGACTTGAATTGATATCCACAGTATTCTTCCACATGTTACACATAAACAATAGAAACACGAACTTAACAAGGCCGAAATAAAGACTAGCAAATGTGGGAACAGGGAATTTCCGTCACACCGTGAATGCAGCACAGCGCCTATTGTGTGGGACTTTACAAAGTTTCTGAAGAACACAGGTCGCTTGTTATTAGTAACAAACTAGTGCAGTGCCCGGAGGAAGTTTGTACTGCTGTAGAGAAGCGGGTTGTTCAGTAGCTTTTTTATGAATGGCCAAATGAGGTTGTGTTTGAAGGTGTAGCAGGTCACTCGGTCCGGGACAGACTCGGTCCGGACTCGTTCAGTGTCAGTAAAACACAACACTCAGTTTAGATGCACAGAACGGAATCGAACAGCCGACAAAACCCGCTGCAGGTGTAGATCAGCGTGTGGGGGTGGGCTCTGCAGTGATTGGCTCTGGTGCGCACATCTCTCTCTCTCTCTCTCTCTCTCTCTCTCTCTCTCTCTCTCTTCACTTTATGCACATTTTATTTATTGTTATTGAGGAATGCACTTTTTCAGATTGTGTTTACATAGAAATGTTTAAATCTAACTTGTGTCAGTGCATCAATTTTCCATATATATATATATATTTAGAACTTCTGGAATATACTTTCTCAGTTTGTAATCCCGCTGCTTGTATTTGCATCAGCTCAAGGGGCCTTTTTTGCCAATAGTTTTTCATTGGAAAAAAATTAATATTTGTATGTGTGTGTGTGTGTGTGTGTGTTATCGGTATCGGTTTAAAAAAAAAGTTATCATGCATCCCTATAAATAAATAAATAAATAAATAAATAAATAAATAAATAAATAATTAGCTGTATTACACTCTCACTTTTATCTGGCACAAAGTCACAGAGCAGCTCTGGAAGACACAGACAGACAGAGAGACAGAGGCTCAAATTTGGAGAAAACACAATTTTACCTAATCTCTATTTCCCCACAGTTGACACAAGGGTGAGGTCTGTCTGTCTGTCTGTCTGTCTGTCTGTCTGTGTGTGTGTGTGTGTGTGTGTGTGTGTGTGTGTGTGTGTGTGTGTGTGTGTGTGTGTGTGTGTGTGTGTGTGTGTGTGTGTGGAGGGCCAGCACTAAAAACCATTGATGTAGTTGTAAAATGTCATTAGATCAAAAACAATATTTCCAGGACTGTAAAGATGTCTGCTGAGATTATAAAAACAGTTATCTGTTAAGATAAGATAAGATAAGACTTTATTGATCCCACACTGAGGGAAGTGTTACAGCAGCTCCAGATGTGTAAGACAGCAGATTAGAAAATAAAATAAAATATGAGATTGAAAGTTTAATTCTCGACCTCGGACACAGTAGCTGCTCTGGAGCTTTTGATTCTGACACATAATCTTCATCAGCTGATTATAATCTTCAACAAAGCAAACTCTGCCTGCTGAAGAAGATTGTGTGTTAACAGTTGAAAGCTCCAGAACAACCACTAAAGGGATTGTTTGTCAACTAAATGGTAAAATGTTGCACAGTAATGTTCAAATAAATAATAATAATCAATAAAGTCGCTCTTCTTGTGCAGATTAAATCTAAATGTTCTGTCTTTGGCACATTTGCACAATTTTTCTTTTTTTTTTCTCTTAATCTTTTATCAAAGTTTTGTGTAATTTAAAAAAAAAAAAAATCTGCTGAAGCAACACTGTCATAATGTTTTGTATATTATTAATATTATAAATCTGTACAATGTTAATATATTAGTATGAGTATCAGTATGATGTATGATCTTCTTTGCCTTTAGAAAAATGTTCCTGTACGTCCTCGGTCCAGTGGCTCTCTGGTTTCTCTACCGCTGGTACAAGGAGAGCAAACGGGTTCCCAACAAGGGAGATAAATACGTCTACATCACCGGCTGTGACTCTGGCTTTGGTAATCTCCTGGCGAGGCACATGGACCAGCTGGGCTTCCGTGTGATCGCAGCTTGTTACACAGAGAAAGGTGAAGATGAGCTGAAGAAGAACTGCTCTGACAGACTGGTGACGGTTCACCTGGACGTCACCGACTCTGAAAGTGTCGGCAAAGCAGCGGTACTCATCAAGACTCTGGTTGGAGAGAAGGGTGAGAGGCTTGGCTTCATTTATAGGAGATCATATAACACTGAAACATAATGTGTTTTATATAAAACACTCTTACTTTTAAAGGAATAGTTTAAAATACATTTATTTACTTTCTTAGATTTAGAAGATTGATACCACTCTCTATTCCTTTTAACATGCCAGCACCCAGTTAGCTTAGCTTAGCACAAAGACTGGAAACAGGGGGAAACAGCTAGCCTGGCTCTGTCCTAATGCAACAAAATCTGTCTACCAGCACCTCTTAAACTCACTGATTAACGTGGTGAATCTTGTTTTGTTTAATCTATAAAAGAAACCATGTGTAAAAATGACATTATGTGTACAGGAATTCAGAAATAGGGTGAAATAGTTTTTTTTTTTTTATACAAACAAAGTTGTTTCAGTGTCCTACTGGATCCACATTCTTTACATATATTTCATAATTTTTGTGTATCAGAAATTGTCTCATCAAATTGAGTATATAACGTGATTTTGTTGGTTTGTTCTGTACATTCAGCATCTATTCGTCTGTCTGTGGCTCTTCCTGAGGGTTTCTTCCATTTTGTTCCCCATTTCAAAGGTTTTTCTAGTGGGAGTTTTTCCTCACTGCAGATTTTAAAGCCCTTTGAAGAGGCTGTATGTATAAAATTTGACTTGACTTAACAATATAATGTTAATTGGAGTTCTTTAGAGGTGCTGGAAGGCAGATTTTGTTACCTCCAGACAGAGGCAGGTTATCCGTTTCCCCTTGTTTCCAGTGTTTATGCTTTAAGCTAAAGAGTGACCTCTGCAAGAAAGAAAAAGAAACTGTATTATGATTTATATTGTGATCTATCTATATATATCTATAATATTCTCGTCTCCTTGTGTCCATTATCTGGTGTTGCTCCAGGCCTTTGGGCGGTTGTGAACAACGCCGGAGTCTCGGTGCCGTCCGGTCCCACTGACTGGCTCACTATAGAGGATTACAAGACCATGCTGTCCGTCAACCTGTGCGGCGTCATCGACGTGACATTGAGCGTCCTCCCTCTCATCAAGAAGTCCAGAGGCAGAGTGGTGAACGTCGCCAGCGTGTTTGGGCGAATCAGCCCGTTCGGGGGACCTTACTGCGTGTCCAAGTTCGGCGTGGAGTCCTTCAACGACAGCCTGCGGTGAGAGGAGATGTAATTTGTTCATGCTGTACAGACATTTTTGGTCTCACGAGTGTGGTCTTGACTTACAGCGAACCCCCCCCCCTTCCTCTTTGTGTTCCAGATTAAACATGGGTCCATTTGGAATAAAGGTGGCGTGCATTGAGCCGGGCTTCTTCAAGACCAATGTGACTGATACAGAGATTATGAAAAGTAGCCTGAAGAAGCTCTGGGACAGACTGCCTCAGGATGTGAAGGACGAGTATGGACACGGTTTCTTGGGGGCATGTGAGTTACTGCACCTTTTTTATTAATAAATGATAATACACTTTATTACTTTATATTTTATTCATAAGTCACACATCTGTGTTTTCAGTTAAAGCTTTGCTATGAATCTCTCCACTGTTCAGTATTTGGAGGTTGCAGTTCAGCCTGGAGGTTTATTTGTTTATCTAATCATTCATTTGTTTGCTATTAGAGGAAAAAATGCTTCACAGATTTATTATTTTATTTATTTATTTTAGCTTGAATTATTATTGTAAGTTCCCAAGTAGAATACAGAGGAGACAAATTGCTGCATTCAGATTCAAATTAATACCCAAAACCAACTGTGTCTCTTCCTAATAGACTTTATTTATGTAGCACTTTGAGAAACAAGGTTGCAAAGTGTGTGAAGTGATAAAACAGGAAAAAGAAATTAACCAAAAAACTGTTAAATAGAAAATAATCTCAGCAATTCACAATAGAATATATAGACTTTATCGAAGCTAAGAGAGTAAGAGAGAGAACAATTACTTAAAAGCACATTTGTAACAGGGGGTTTTAAAAGAGATGTAAAACAGGGAATTAAAGAGGCTGCTAAAAGTAATCAGTAAAATTTGAACTCAATTTGACGAAGCAGACAGGATATTGATTTATTTTGTCTGTGACTTTATTTTAATTTTATTTATATAATCTTTTTCATGCATGTACCTGTAGAGCTTCCTGACCAGCTGAGTGTTCAATTGTAATTCATTATTTGATTGTAACAACTAAAACTAAACTGCATTTTACCTATAATTGTTGCCAAACCACAAAACTCTTTCCAAGACGTTATTAGGAGCTAATTGGGCAGTAAAATCTTAATTATCCTGTTTTATAAACCACATCTGTGTTCCTCTTCTCTTTCAGCTCTGGACATGTTGGACGCGAGGTTCAAGCTGCTGACGGACGGGAACCTGATGAAGGTGGTCGGCTGTATGGAGCACGCCATCTCCGCCGTTCACCCTCGCACTCGCTACTCTCCAGGGTGGGATGCGAAGTTCTTGTGGTTGCCTCTGTCCTACATGCCCACCTGCATCATGGACAGAGTTCTCCGTAAAAGCAGCCCCAAAATACCTTCACTGAAGTTCAAATGAGTTACTGGAGGAAAGAATGATGGGTATAATTTGAAGATCAATTTTTGTGTCTTTTATTAGAAATACAATAAAATATTAAATACTGACCACAACATAACATTTTATGTATTGTAAACCATGTTGGCCTCTTCATTTTTAGTTTTTTCGAATGCCATATTGATTATAAGATCTAAGGTAGCGGCCTTTGCTTCTTAAGTCACATGATATTGATCTCAAACTTGTAAATACTTTGTTCTTCGTGGACTTTGGCTCCTCTGTTTCTGTTTAAACCAGAATATTTTAGAACCAGGCGGCCTTTCCTCTGAATAACTTTTTTGGGCTGTTGTGTTTTTCAGAGTGGATTTAAGGTAAAAGGTTGGGGGAATGTAGCTATCAAAACCAGGGGTCACGTCATCTGGTGTTGTCTGTTACACAATACCGTGTTAGTGAAACATTTAGCCTCCGCTGTTTTATTGACAGCACGATGGACCTTGACACTGCAGACACACTGAGGCATCAGACACTAACACGACTGCACCTGAAGCTTCCACTGTTGACTGAGAGGGAAATTGTAGACATGGTATGTTTGCATTATTAATATTTATATTAGTAATAGTAGTAGTAGTAGTAGTAGTAGTATCATTATTACACATTGCATCATTTTGATACGTGTTAATTGGCTTTGCTCATTAGGACAACATTAGCTTCATTGTTTTTGTTAATTTTATATAAAATTAAGGAACTAATTTAACTATTTAGTTTTTTTTTTTGCACAAACCAGTTCAATCTGATGCCACCGGGTGTGTGCATTAAGAGATCAGATCACTAAAAACACAACAAATTAAAACTCCACCCTCCCCCCTTTTGTGGTGTCTGCTGCTGAGACCCAGTACAATGGATATAACCAGGCAATGTCCAGTTTTTAAATGATCTGAGCACTACAAACATTCAGTTAATCTCTGAATGCATTAATATAGTACAATGGTGGAGGAAGTATTCAGCTCTTTCACTTAAGGGAAAGTACAAAAATATTGTTAGAAAATGTATGAGATGTATTAATTATGCAGGGGAATTGGCCATATGAACGTTATTACGTACAGTATTATCATACATTATATTCTCGGATTAATGTTACTGATTCATGTGTACATTTTACTGTTGGTTGAGGTGGATTTATTCTAACTACTGTTGTGTAGTTTATTAGATAACAAACATTTTCAGAGCTGATCAAATGTTTTGTCTGTCAAATTATAATGTGAAAAGTGACTTTCTACCACAGCTGTCATCCCTCAGCAATGTTGGGGTAGTAGTAAAAGTCTAAAGAACTATAAGATGTAATAAAGTACCTCAAACTGAAGCGCAGTGTTTGAATACATGTGATTAGTTAAAGATATAAAAACCTCAAGTGCATGAATGTCACATTTCTCTCATATAGGCACAACCAAGATTGTTTTATTTACACTCACTTCTTCTTTTTGTTACATAATTGGGTTATGATTTGTGTTAAAGGGGCTCTGTTATAGGAATATATGTACAAAAACAGATATACAAACCCTGCTTTAAGTTAAAGTACTGGAAGTATTAATGTTTAAAATGTAAGTGTGTTACTGCAATGGTCAGATTAACCCACTAGAGGGCCCTGGAGACAACAGGCCTCCTGGTTTAATGGACCAGTGTTTGGGATTTAGTGGCTTCTAACAGTGGAGTTTTTGAAACTCTCAAAAAAGTCTCCTTCTGGAATAACAAAAACTCAATTCTTCTTATTTTCAGGTGATTATACATTAATGACAACCTACGTTATATCCCATTTCTGGCAATAGATCCTCCTAAATGTTACACACTGCACCTTTTAGATGCATTTTGATCATGTGAAGGGGTGTTCAAGTTAAAATAGGACATTACGGTGCTTTTTAATGCTCTTTACATTTCAGCTTATGGTCTGTGTTAATGGTGCATATCCACAAGTTAACCAGCAGACACATAATGAGTATGGGGTCTTTAGGGGCTTCATTTCAGCCATAGTTACTTCTGCTAATTCCCAATAAGGATAAGGGTTCATGAGGATGGACTGGGCAGCACAAACATAAAGGTAAAGGGTGATTCAGTGTTAATCTTCCATACTTGGGTGAGTGTAATCCTAAAAAGTTTTTCCACTCAGGTATCAACGGACAATCTGACGTCATATTTATTAGAGGTGAGTTGATTTCTCTTTGTTTGCATAAATATTCTAACTGTCTTCATCGTTTTTATTTACCTTTAAAGAGAAAGTGTGAAATATTTAGAATATAAGAGCCATTAAAATGTTTCCTTTCAGGATTTACAGCAGTCTAACATGTGGACTGTGTGTTTCAGGCAATCCTGTCCCACCTGGCCTTAACCTGTGCTTTACTTCTGGCCGCTCTCGCTGCCATTCGCTGGCACATCAGGGATTCCTACAAAGTGGATGGCTTCAACCAGAAGCATGTGTTCATCACAGGCTGTGACAGCGGCTTTGGGAATCTGCTGGCCAGACAGCTTGATGGAAAAGGTTTCCACGTCATAGCTGCATGTCTGACAGAGAGAGGTGCAGCAGATTTGGCAGCAGTGGCCTCCCCCAGACTAAAGACCCTCCTGCTGAATGTTACAGACAGCTCGAGCATCAGGAGGGCGATGGAGTTTGTGAGCAAAGAGGTCGGAGAGCAGGGTGAGCCGGGCGGACGGCAGGGGGTACACACAGATAGGGTGCCAGTCAGAGTGAGGCACTGGAAGAGATAAAGGCAACCTGGACCATCCCATCATCAACTCATCATCCTCCTACTGATGTGTTTAACACACAGAGGAGGGTGAAAATACCTCATAGGCTGCATTTTTTAACACAGTAAAGCTTCGTCAAACATAAATCTGAGCTACAGGTTGATAAAAAAAAAAAGATCCAGATTATATTGTCAAAGTTTTAGAAGCTGTTCAGACTCTTATTTTATTGGATTGGATGTGTTGGGTTGAGTAGTGGACGTAGCAATATACTAATCTCCTGTGTTGAGACCAATTACTTCACACTGGAGGAAGTTGAACTGCAGCAAAGATAAAAGGGAGAAATCTAGTTTCGTAAACTAAAGCTATTAGAAAAAGTAGCTCAAGCTACTTCTATAAAATTGACAATGTACATGTGGTACAAAATAATAACAAAATATAATCACATCTCAGTTAAGTTCATTATTAAATTGAAATAAAATTATAAAATATCCCACTATATATGGGCTCAAAGATATAAACGTAGGTCAGGTCAAAGCTGTACGGGGTTCAAAGGGTGTTCAATTACAGTAGAGAAGTGATGGTAATAGTCGTTATTCCTTTCCTGTTAGAACCCAAAATTGTTTGTAGTTTCGGTAGTTAGCTACACAAAGAATGGCTAAAAATGAATTTAACTACTTGACTTACAAAATACAAATATAAACCCAGTTGAACTACCAGCAAGCTTCTACAAAATGTAGTTAAACTACTTGTTTAATCCCTAAGGTTCACTACTACTGCTAGATCTCCACAGTACTGTATGGTATTCTGTAGTACATGTTTGTTGTTTGTTTTTTTCATTTAAGATTACAATTAAAAATGTGTCATAGAAAAACTATATGAAAATTAGAGTTGATCATTTATTCTTTGATGATTAATTAATCATTTTATCAATCATCAAATAAAAATTCCAAATATTCTCTGGTTCAAGCCTCTCCAATGTGAAGTTTGGATGCTTTTCGCTCTCACATGATGACATTTTTCAAATGGAAATGATTGGCGGATTAATCAATAATTAAAATGATTATTAGTTGCAGGCCTAATGTAAATAAAAAAGACACAAAAACAAAAAAACTACATATGCAACTGAGTTTACAGCGGGAGTCAGGCTCCACTTAATGTGTTAAATAGTGTGCAAAGATAACAGAAATTAGAAATTAGTGCAATGTGATCAGTGGAATGTGTAGAAGTATATTTAGGCACAATGTTCATCTGTTAAAACTAAGTGAGTTAAGAAGTTTAAAGATTGTGGCTCTTTCCTCTGCAGGTCTGTGGGGTCTGGTGAACAATGCTGGCAGGTCCACACCCATCGGCCCCCCAGAATGGATGCAGTTGGAGGATTTCTCAAAGGTTTTGGATGTGAATCTGATAGGAGTCATTGATGTGACCCTTCAGTTTCTCCCACTGGTGAAAAAGGCTCAGGGCAGGGTGGTAAATGTGGCCAGTATTCTGGGCAGACTGTCTCTCACTGGTGGAGGATACTGCCTGTCCAAATTTGGAGTGGAAGCCTTCTCCGACTCCCTCAGGTAGTGGGAACACAACAGATCACACATGCTCTTTAAATTAGGACATAGGAGTTATTGAAAACAGTAGAACAGTAAAAAAAAAAAAAATTCACACAAGTACAGAGGTTAGCGCCAATGTTACTGCTGTAATCGTGCTTAAGTTTATGTTTTTTACTAAAAAGCCAATAACCAATAGATTAAAACTCACAGTTTAAAGTGCTGAGAAGTCAATGAACATTTCTTTGGTCTTAGACATGTGAAGTCAGTAATGGAAGTCCTTCCAAGATTTACTTTAGTAAAGGTACTGATACAACAATATAAAAATACTCACTGTTACAGGTAAGTCCAGCAGTCAAATTCCTGTTTATTAAAACTACAAAAATATCAAAAGTAAAAGTACTTGTTGTGCAGAAAGATTGATTATTATTATGTGTGACATTGTTAGATTGTTGGTACTGATACATTGTACTGTTGTATTGTTGTTGTAGCTGCTCCATCTAGTTTTAATTACTTTATAAGGTAGTTTAGGCCAGTGGTTCCCATTGTAAGGTTTGAGAGAAGGCAGGAGGGGGAAAATGTATTTCTATTTTTGAGTGTTTTTTTTATTTAATTAAACTATTTGAGAAGTTTAGAGGGAAAACTGTCAACAGCTCATCTGAAATATGTATCAAAAATGTTATCACTGGTTTAATCTTTTACAGATGTATAATTTATTTGTATTTCATAAGTTTATTATAAATGTAACATTTTAATTATTATAGTTATAACTAGTAACTATAGCTTTCTAAACATAGTGGGGTAAAAAGTAAACATTTTCTGTATGACATATAGTGAAGTAGAAGTATAAAATAGCATAAAATGGAAATACTGAAGTCAAATTTGTCAAAATTGTAATAGAATACATTTTTTTAGATACTTCCTATCACTGCATTCAGTTGCAAAAGGTTGACGATTGGAGTAATCTGCAAACCTTTTAGACATTAACATGACTTAAAACTACTTTGTAAGGGAAATCCAGACAGAAGAATGAAACATTTTCAATAAAAGGCTTTTTAGTTGCATTAAAGTAAACACAATGATCTCCTTCTGCTGCTTAGGAGGGACATGCAACAGTTTGGCGTCAAAGTGAGCATCATTGAGCCTGGTTTCTTTAAGACAGCTGTTACCCAGCAGGATCTTATTGAAGCTGACCTGCAGAGGCTATGGAGCCGCCTCCCTCAAGATGTCAAAGACTCCTATGGACCTAAATACTTCAAGGACTGTGAGTGGAAGTACAGTTAATAATTCATCTGTGGCATCAAGTTAATATTTTAAAATGACTCCTCTCCTTTGTTTGCCCCCCCCATCAGATGTGAAAGCTCAGGACTTCTCTTTGGGGATCTTGTGCAGTCCAGATATCTCTAAGGTGACCAGGTGTATGGAGCACGCGCTGACGGCTCGACACCCACGCACACGTTACAGTGCAGGCTGGGATGCCAAGCTGTTGTGGATTCCCCTGTCCTACCTCCCTTCATTTGTGTCAGACTTTGTTGTCAGCATGCTTCTTCCTTCATAAAGCAGCCAGCTAAAACCAACTGTGAACCACTGACTGAAATTTCTGTATGCTTGAATTAAATATATTGTGACAAAAGAGGTAAAATAAGTGTCAAGACTGTGTTACAAAATAGGAAATTTATTCATTCATGTCTCAGCAGCAGCGATTTAAACCATATGGGCATGTTTGTGGATGATCACAGATAAAAGTTTTATTTGTCCTCATTATGATACAAAATAAATCATTCCGTAAAAGTAAGAATTTATTCACTGTGTTTATAAAACGACTGTCTACAACTGCATCCTCAGCTCACGTGTTGCTCTCCAAGATCAACTGCAGAAATTCATTTTCCGTGTTAACAAACACGTTCAAGTATTGTTCCAAACTATTTTGGCCGTTGTTCCAATATCATTTACTTTTTTAAAAAAAAAATATCATTTTGATTCAAAGTCATAAAGTCAGGGAACATAAGGTAGAAATTAGTTTGATTAGGTACAATAAGTATGCTTCATGCACATTTTAAACATCTGTTTATACTGGAGTGTTATGTCTTTGAAAAATGAATGGCATAAGTTAAAATCCAATTATTCTTGCTTTTATTTAGTTCCCCGCCCTGAAATGAGGTATATAAACCTGAAAGATGAATAAATACATCTTCAGTTTCGTTCAGTGGCAAAAAAAAATATCATTCCTCAACACGTTTCTCTTATAGCCTTCGATCATATAAGTACTGTACATTCAGAGTGCAGCTCACTTTTCTTTTTTCACGTGTTATTGGGTTTATGTGAAATTATTCATAGGATCTATTTCAAAGATATTTTTTCTGACAAAATCTTCCTGTTCAAATTTACAAATATACAACTTATTTATTAACATTTCTATCAGCAGCTTCAGTGCAAAGATATACATATTGTACATCAGAATAAAGAAAACATGAACACAAGAATTGGCATAAGAAATGTCAGAAGGCATAGTCACAGAAGACCTTTTTCTTCATTCTATAGAAATGTATTTCTCTTTCCTAAAACAATTTGAGTTTTGTACACAGGCTGCATAAAAAAATAAATTCTGTGCAAAGTGTGTTTCTTTTTTTCGACTCCCGTCCGCGAGAGAGGGGTTATACGTCGCTGTCCTCTTTCACGAGGTTGGCTGTGTCTTTGAAAGTGTCCTCGGTTGGCGAAAAGGTGCTCGGACGATCCCTCTTCGGAGGTTTGGCGGGGGGCACAAACGGAGAGGGCTCAGGGGCAGAAGAAGAGTCCCCGCTGCTTCCAACAGGCTTTTCATCCTTCATCTGTGAAACACCGCGGAGGGTTAAACCATCGAAAGAACAACTGTACTTTCTGTTTTTGTAACTGGTGTCTTAGAAATGTTACCTCAGAATATGAAGGGTTTTCAAATGTGGTGCTTGGCTTTAATTTTCGCTTGAAGAGGCTCCACTTTGACTCCTGCAAACACAACACAAAAGAGACGTGGTATCACACTTAAGGGGTTCCCAGAAAAACTTGGAATATTTTAATTTCAGTATAATTTAGTAGACTAGAAGAATCACTACTCTGTTCATAGGTTTCACACTCTTCATTCATCTGACAGTCTACATCTTATCAAATATGGTCCACAGCCTGATGTGTATTACTGGTTTAGCTGACATAGCGTTGGACATACTGTATACAGCAAACACACCTGCACAGGTTTGGTGCTGACAGACGATGTGTTCACAACAGCCACGCTCTGATCTCCGCGATACGCCGGGTTCACAAAGTTGTTCTCCAGCTGTTCACCGCTCACATTAACAGTCACCTGTTGGAGAAGTGGGTTGTTCGGGTCAGTTTCATCAGCCTTGACAACTGAGTTGATTCACTGCCTGATTTAATTGAGATTATCTGCACAAAAAAATACTAATTCTTCTTTTATTCTACATGGACATTACGATGTTCTGACCACAAACGGTACGCCCAAAGGACCTACAGAAGCTGCCATGTGGAATAAAAGAAGAAAAAAATGTCTCTCCTGGTCAGCAAACACCAACACTTTATGTTAAATCCAAATAATGTCCCTATCACTGTAATACTGTTTAACTACTATATTGATTCTGAAACCAAACCCCTGGCAGCAGTCCATTTATTCACTATATTTCAAATAACATTCCTCTTTGAAGAGATTAAATACATACATGTGATTACAGAGAAAATAAATACATTGAAAATAAGGTCCATTTTGTTGTATATTGTCATTTATATGATGGTTTTATAAAGAGGTTATAATGTAAAACTACATAATATAACTATCAGCTGGAAGAAAACCACTGAACCCTGAACAATATGTGGTTTGTTTGTTTCTTTAGAACATGAACGTCACGTTACTCATGACACAAACAACAGTGTTATATTGGTATGACATAAAAATGAAATTCATTAACTGATTTATGTTTACCTGCGTGGCATGAATGACAGCAGGATCGCTGGATGCTCCAGGAGCAGTGGCGTATAACGGGTTCTCAAATGTGATTGGCTGCCTCCCACCTTCCATGGCAAAGTTATCATCCTGTGGGGACATTATATTGATGAGATTGCTTTTTACGTTCATTAAAAGACACATCATGAGTTGATTCTCAACCGCTGCTGACACGTCAATAAATACCACACAGAGCACTTTGCTGACAGTACACTTTCAATATTAGCTAATAAAGACTCACCATCTGCATGGCTGTGTCAATGAATGACACTCCGATGTGTGATGGTCCGAGATCAACATTATCACCCGAGCGAAACGTCACCCCATTCCCCGTGTCACCAGACTTCACCAGGCTGCTGAGGCTGAACGAAAAACAAAACACTCCTGTTTGAACTGTGGTCTGAATTCTGCGCGCAGCAACTTCGGTACAGTTTTCCTTCATAAGCAACATGCAGACGCAGAGAGCAAAGATACCTGGGTAATTTGGGCATGGAGGGGATGAAAGATCCTGTCCGTTTGTAGTTAAGGAAAACCCCAACAGCCAAAGCTCCAGTGATCAGGATGATAATGACGGCCAGGAGAACAGCCACAGCTAAAGACAAAGCAGACAATATTTAGTTGTATACATACTGGACACTTTCACAACACAACATTCCTACTGTGATAACATTTTGTTGACTAGTCCATTACTGCTCATGTCCTTTGGATGACCCGTTTAGTTTGCTGAACCATTAGAAAAGTTAAACAGTGATCAATTGAAGTATTACTTGGCTATTTATTAAGGAAATGTGTGATTTTGGCCCGTCAACATCTTCAGTAACTGCTGAGCCAAACTGTTTCCTCAGCTTGTTGGTTTGAGTAGCTTTTAGGTAGATAAGTGAGAAGGGTGACTTCATCAGATTTGGCCTTGATCTGCTCCAGTGAAGCAAACACATCATCACTGTTACTGTACGGTAACTCCCACATGTCAAGCAATGCATCTGAGTGAGAGTACCTCAGATATTGGTTGGTAGAATTTGTTAAGTCGGGATAAAGTGCCAGATACTGACTAATCAGTAAATTAAAAAAAATAAATAAAAGGTTAGATGATGGGTGAATTACAGTACCTGTTCCTGCTGGAGCGCCCCTTGACTTTCCCATCTCACAATAGCTGCCCACATAACCATATGGACATCTGTGGAAAGGTCATGTTAAACATCATTTACTTACAAGGAAAAACACCTTGATGTGTATTTAAAAAAGGTGGAATACCAGAATCATCAGGCATTACTGGATATGACTGGACAGATGGAGAACCAACCAATAACTGGTGTAAATGGCACCTATAACTAAACTCACTTGCACTTGGGCAGACCGCCTTCATCAGTGTAGCAGGTTCCACCATTCATGCATCTACATGCAAGGGGCATTGGAACAGGTGCCTCAATGGCTGCAGGAGCAAAAGCCAGGCATACACAGAATCAACAACAACAACAACAACAACAACAACAACAACAACAACAACAAAACAATATCACACCACAAAAACCGCACAGGAGCAGCCAGGCACATATGCAGGAGGGAATTTTAATGAATGCAAATTGAGATGCAACACAAGAGTGCAGGCAGCAGAGGCACTCTGGCTGCTGTTTACCTGCGTCACATTCATTGGAGTCAAACTCCACCGGAGTGGAGCCTTGTGGACAGGCACAGGTGTATCCACTAGGCCGGAGGAGACAGAGGTGGCTGCACACGTTCTTACAAGGGTTGGGTACTGAAGAGGAAGGGACCAGAGAGAATAACACTGTTAGATATTGTTTAATGGCAAGTTGATAAAGTTGATAATTATTACAGTTGATTTACTCAATTAAATTCAACAATTATTGGTACATTTCAAAATATAAATGCAGATTACTATGCTTTCTTATCTTCTGTACTTTTAGGGTTGAAGTATTAAGAGTATATTTACTACTACAGGTTATTAATGATAAAATAAATTAAAATTTTAAAAGGACTGGGACATGTGTAGATGGAAGGAAGGGACAGTCACATTTGACCTTTTTTGCCAAATCAGCTGCCTAAAGTTGTCAAATCCATTCCTAATTTTATTTTTATTATGTGACATACTGAGAACTGTTTCCTAACGTGTTTCACAAACGTTTGGGCAAGAAAAAGGTCACTACAATAATCCAACATCAGTTTATGTGATACCTTAAACATGACATACAATAGTAAAACATTTTCTCTCTAATTCGGAACAACTGAATGACGAGTTCTGACCTGACTGGTTGTGTCGGTGCTCCTGGTAAATGCGGACTTGAGTCAGCCAGGGGTTGATGGTCAGAACTTTGACTTTGTGTCCTTTCCCGAACTTGTTAGTCCTCCACACTTCACCTTTTTCCTTTGTGGTCCAGTATACGTGCCCCTCAAACACATCCAGACTGTACGGATGTCCAATGTCTGGAACAGAGAAAACACAATACTTTAAACGCACATTCTTTTCTTTATCGTGAATCACCTCCACTGATGGATAAAATACTTGATATATGATCAGTGCCACTCATAAAACTACATATTTGTTTCTATTTCTGCAGACCGGCTGCCCTACATCTCAGCGTTCTGACCTCCTGATATGACGATCTTCCTGTCTGTGCCATCAGGCTTCATGGACTCAATGATGTTTTCTTTGGAGTCACACCAGTAGATCCTGTTTCCATTCAGATAGTCCAGAGCCAGCCCAGTAGGCCAGCCCAGGTCCTCCTCATTCACCAGCACCTCTCTGTGCTGACCGTCCATCCATGCCGATTCTATTCTGGGTTTCCTGCCCCAGTCGGTCCAATACATCATCCTGTCAACACAGAAACAATCAACAATTCTTCATACAGTACAAAGCAATAAAGGAGGCAAATGACATATGTTTTTACAGTAAAGCCTCATACCCGAGAGACGGATTGACAACAATAGCAGCGGGCTGGTCCAGGTCTGTGTGGATCAACCACTTCCTGTACCGCCCATCTAGTTTGGCCACTTCAATTCGATTGGTGCCTGAATCTGTCCAGTAAATGTGCCTGTAAAAGGTGACGAATACATACTGAGCAACTGAATGCAAATACAGAGCAACCTCTGCAATGGTTAAGTCATAGTCTTGGTGAATTACCCGCCAACCCAGTCCAAAGCGATGCCGTCAGGTTTGGCGATGTATCTCAGGTTCAGATCCACCTCTTTCACTGGATTGTTGCCGTGATCGTTAAATGTGGTCATGTAGGCGCGTTTGATGGAGCCAAACTCAGATCCCTGACCCAGAACCGTCCAGTACACAATACCTACGGCACATCAGGGGATCAGTGTTGTCAAAACTTAAGAGATCTTGTTGGGTTTATATTCATTTACAGTAGTAAATCTTACTGAGTCCTTGTCCCTCTGGATCCCACAGGTAGTCCAAGGCTTGGATGTGCTCAGCGTTGTCCACATAGTCTGAATACTGCTCAGAGGACAGGTTGAAACGACGGATGCGAACGTTGTCTGGCAGCAGAAGCACCGGTGGGTTTCCTATACAGAAGCAATGCTATTAGCAACGTCAATGCACAGTTTGGCTTCACTCGCTAATAAAAGGGAACATTTGTAAAGAATTTTCTTCTCCGTGTGAAAGCCAAGCTCTTACCCTGGGCAGCACACTCCGTCCCATGTGGCTCACCGAAAGAGAGAAAACCTTCAGCGCAAAAACACTCGTAGCTGCCTTTTGTGTTCTTGCACTCCTGAGGACACGTTCCATACACCTCACACTCGTTCATATCTGTTTCCAAAATCACAAGAAAAAAAGAGAGTTGAGTTGAATGTAGAAAAATACTTCTGTGTCAGTATTTAAGTGGATGTGTCGGTTTACCTTCACAGGTGTGTCTTTCTGTGTCTCTGGGCTTGTAGCCGGGCCTGCACGAACAGAGTAAGCCCCCCTCCGTCAAGTCGGTACAGTTGTGTTCACAGATGTTGTCACTGCACGCGTGCCCACTGCCATGGTCTGACAGGAGCAAATACAAAAACACACTGAATATCAGACCAGACACTCATGGAGGTAACTATATGGTACTTAGAGTAAGTCCTCTTACAGTTTTATTCTTGTATTTATTCTTCCACACAATCAGGTGTAGGCAAGTGGAAGTCACAGTTGAACCAACTCAGCTAAATAAATGAACTAAATAAACTTCTTTCCAGGCATAAAAGAATACTGAACTCACATTCCTGCATTTTAATAGTATCTTGTCTCAAAAAAGCATGTACACATTTCCACCTACAACAGTATTGGAAACCAGTTATGATTTAATTTATTTCAAGTTTACTAGACCAGCTGACACGCTATGCAGTAACTACTATTTTTAATACATTTTACTTATGTACTCACGGCAGCCAAGCTCATCTGACTGGTCTCCACAGTCATCATAATCATCACAGGCGTACTGTAGAGGGATGCACTGTCCGTTACTGCATTTGTACTCATCATCTGTACAGGGTCCATGAGTGGGGCTTTGGCCTAGATGGGGAGAAACACATCAACTCAAAGACGCTGTAGATGCGTGTAGTTATGTTTAAAGACGAAAGGTAGAACGTGACATAAGAATGAACACGTTAATGTGACCATCAGCTACGAACTAATGTATCATACTCACAGTTTTCCTGTCTCTCATCAGAGCCATCACCGCAGTCATCCACAGAGTTACACAGCTCGTGGCTGTAGATGCAGCGGTTGTTGTCACAGCGGAAACGAAACGGAGTCTCACACTGGATTTCCACTATGGAAAGTGCAGAAAGTTCAGCAGATAAAAAAAAATCTATACATTCATTTTATAATTAGGGTTCATTTTTATGTTATTCTGGGCATGAATCTAATAAGCTTTGGTTTTGTGTGTGCCAGACTTACAGCAGAGGTGAAGCTCCTCGTCTGAATTATCTCCACAGTCATTGTCTCCGTCACATTTCCAATGAGGCTGGACGCAGACGTGGTTCTTGCACTCAAACAAGAAGGGGGGGCAGTAAGTACCGTTGGGAAAGCGGGTCGCTGAAAGTCAGAACCGTTCTGTCAAACTCAAGTTTGTAACCAAACTCTCAATCCCAATGAGGCAGAGACCAGAGGGCTATATTCACTTAAGTTAAAACTTTCTTTTTTGGGATGCAGAAAATAATAATTAACACCAAAGAATGCACAGGGGAAACTATTCAGTGCGGGACACTTACGACAAGACGTCTCATCTGTATAATCCAGACAGTCAGGGTTCCCATCGCATTTGAAGCGTTCAGCAATACAGTGTCCACTGCCGCACTGGAAGTAACCGGGGTGACAAGTCCGCAACTCTGCGACACAGACAAACCGGCACAAGATGAAGCATTAAAGTATACTCATTATTATTTGTTATTTCATTAGTAATTAATAATTGCCACCCAACCCTGTTTTCTGTTGTTTTCTGTTACCCGTTCTCACAAAAACAATGTTGTGTGTTTCTTATTTGTAATTGTCAACAAATGTCCCAAGCACCTCAATGAAAACCCCAAATCCCTAAATGTCTTTATTCCTACATGGGACATACTCTTTTATTTCATGTATCTCGAGTTACTTCTGGATATGCGATGGCAAGTGAGACTTGAACTTCTACAACAGCGATCCGTCCTGCATTCTTTGTAGCAGAGTGAATAAACTCTTTTTGAATAGATGACTATTGGTGGTCCTGTCTGTCTATGCTATGCTTCAAAATGTGAAGTTTTATTGCCTCTTTGTTTAGTGCAGCCCTCCGTTACTCACAAACAGCCAGCCAACAAAGAGCCTCCACTTACCACAGTCCCTTTCATCCGAGTTGTCCTCACAGTCGTTGTCATGGTCACAGACCCAACGGTCAGGAATGCAGCGAAGATTTTCACAGCGAAACTCGCTCTCCGTGCACGCGCGTGGAGCTGCGGGAAAACATGAAACAGAAATTAAAGGGTGTGGAATCAAGAAAATGTAGAATTTGTTTTGGTTTTTATTACATTTCCATTAACACAGACACATTAATCAGAGGTCTTTCAACAGCTCTGGTGGGCTCGGTCAACTTTGACACATTTCTCAAACCTGTCAAGGGTTTATAAATTCTGTCTATTATTATTGTTTTCCGCCATATTATGACATAAAACACCCGACACCCTCGCTAACAGAAGTATGTGCCGCCGTTACTCTGCAGTGAGCTCATGAGTTCACTGGAGACGAACTCTCCTGGCATCAGCAGCGCAGCAACAAGGGGAGAGGTACCACCACGATTTAACCCCAGTCACCGTTTCTCTGTTGAGAGGCTACATTATCACTATTAACTGGCATGTTCTCAGACATGTTTAAATTCTCCAGGGCAAAGGGTGACAGACTCCTTCACTCCCTCTTTCTGACACACTGAGGACAGCCTGTTTCTCTGGCAGCTGATAAGAGTACCTCTCTCAGCACTCCGCTGTCGGCAGAAGTGTTGAGCCTCTTACTAAACCTCCATGCTGTCTGATAAAATGATAGTGGGACTATTCTTTGCCATCAACACTCATTTTTCATTTGGACAATTCACAGGAGCTAAGATCCCACAGTAAACCTACTTAATAGACACTTAGATGATATCAAAACAATGTACCCAGCTTTTCACTGCTCACACTCTCGTCGGTGCTCAAACCGAACCCTCAACTGAATGACGTAACTTTATCAGTGACAGTGAACAGCACTCACTGCAGCTGCGCTCATCAGAGTTGTCCCCGCAGTCGTCGTCCCCATCACACCTCCATCTCAGTGGGATGCAGCGGTGGTTGTCACAGCGGAAGTCTCCGTTAGGATCACAGGTCAGTTCATCTGGGAAAGGAGTAGGTACATGAAACTGGTCATCATTAAACCATTACGCTCAACTAAATATCTTTTCTACTTTCTCTGCAATAATGCTCTTTTCTGTGATCATATTTTCAACATAAGCGCCTTAAGGTTCCGTGAACTTACCACGCGTGAAACTGATTGAATATTTCAATCAAATAGAGTAAATGTAGTTAAAGCATACAAAATAATTACCTAGTTTAAATCTGTTAGATGCACTCGTCCTTTGGGTAGCATGAATCTGTGCTATTTAGGCAAGTCAAACTTTATATACAGTACATTTCATACCCAGGAAAAAAGACAAGGTAGGTAGAAAAGGACAAATATTTAAACAACATTTAGATGTTCTGAAAACAAGAAGTGGAAGGAGGCTGGATCAAAAAACACTTAGGTTTTAGGTCCACCTAGCTGAAACTAATGCAATTGAACAAACCCGCTCTTGAGTAAATCCTAGCTCGAAGAAGATTATAATGTTTACTTAACTGTTTTATAGCAGTGTTAATTCAACCTTATAGTCATTTCAAAGCTGTAGTTGTTTCTGGTGTTATACTGACTGAACCAGGTTTGTATTTATTTAGTCTACCCTCATTGCTTAGAAATGCTGTGAACAAAATATTCACGTCAACAACAACACAAACTGCAGCCTCCAAAATCACCATGAAGTTGAATCAACACCTCTCTAAAACAGTTCATATTGCGCATTACAATCAGATCCACAGATTTAACAGCTCTCCTTCAGTGTCTTGACACCAACATGTTTGTAGAGTAAACTTTGAATGACACAGTGATGACTGGAAACTCTCACTGCTGAAAGTGTTTGCTACATGTAGCAGTCAAAGATGAGGAGAGATTACGCATCAGTTAATAATTCTGTTAATAAGAACAACAACAGAATGTATGACTGGACATTTTTATCTTTTAAGTAATGATGAAACTGTCAGTTTGAAATGAACGGCATCTTGTTTTTTTAATTAAATTGCAATAGTTATAGAGGGAGGGGAGCTGCATGCTTAGGACAGATGGGTGACCTCTATCCATGCCAGTATGTGTCTGTAGAGGATAAGGCAGCAGGAGATGAGAAGCACAGACGGGAGAGGAGTGGAGGAGAGCTAGTCTGAGCCGTCTCTACCACACAGTGCTGGGGGTCAAAGATAGCGCAGTGTTAGCTAGTCCTGCCCTCCTAGCCCTCCACCTGGCCCATCTGCTACATTCTTACGGGAAGATTAGCACGGATCTCCCGTCCTGCGCGGGCATGGCACTAATGGAGAGAGGGCCTCCGATAAGAGACGGGAGGGCCGCAGCGAGTGTGTTTGGATCGTAGCAAAGTACAAAGAGACTTGTGTGAACCCTGCCCCCACGCAAGGACAGAGCAACAACACACACACACACACACACACACACACACACACACACACACACACACACACACACACACACACACACACACACGTATGTAGACCCATACCACTGGACAGCTCATAAATCTGTGGTGCTCTCAGGGAGAGGTAAATGGCGGGGGAGGGTGAGTGGTGAGACCCTCTCCATCAGCACCTCCCACTACCTCACTGTGTAATGTTCCACAGGAGGCTGAGGTGTTGGCTAATTGCCCTTCACTCACTCCTTAAAAACACAATCTTGAGTCCATGCAGTAAACTTTTTAATCCTTTTGAGATCTCTGGAATCATCTTACTATCAAAAAATGAATGGGACGTTATCAGCCATATTCGATCCTAACAACAAACGGTGGTCGCAGACTCACCGCAGCCCTGCTCATCACTGTTGTCTCTGCAGTCGTTGTGGCCGTTGCAAACAGACCACAGTGGCACGCAGCGGTAGTTGGTCTGACAGTCAAACTCTGTGTGGTTGTCACATCGATATGCTGGTCCCACTGTGAAGAAAACACCACTGTTGTCAACTTTTAAACATCAAAATGACAAATGTATTAGTAGAAGTAGTCAGACTTTAAGGTCTTGATGTAATGTGTGCCTTCGTTCAGATCAAAGGTTTTGCTCTCCTCCTTGTCCCTTGTACATTTAAAGAAGGACCCATAAGCAGAGTAAAGAAAAAGGGGGAAAGAAACAATGTATTACTTACTGCACTCCTCTAATGGTTCATCAGAGTTGTCACCGCAGTCATCATCAACGTCACATTTCCAGCTCTGGGGGATGCAGCGTCCATTGCGGCACTTGAACTGACCTGGGCGGCAGGTCCTGGCGGAGCAGTGAGCAGGGTCCTCGTCAGACTGATCACCACAGTCATCTTCACCATCGCACTGCCATGACTCAGGGATACACCGCTTATTTGCACACTGCCACTGGTGGTTTTCACACTGGTGTGTAGCTAGAGGGAGGAAAAGTCAGTCAGTTGATTGGAACAAGATTTTAACATGAGAAACAAAGACATGTTAAAAAACTGCACAAACAAACTGAAGTAGAAGAACTAAAAGTCTTCAAATAAAAGAATACAACCCACCACATAGCACAGGGTCTTCATCTGAGCCATCATGACAGTCCTGGTTGCTGTTGCACAGGAAGTGCGGACTGGTGCAGTTTCCGTCATTGCACTGAAACTGGCCGAGCCTGCAGTAGCGAGCCGGGCAGGTGGAAGGTTCGTCTGAGCCGTCTCTGCAGTCCCTCTGACCGTCACACTTCCACCAGATAGGAATACATCTGTTGAAGCATGGGTAGGGCCAGAAATGATCAGCGTGTTTAGCCAGAGCTTTAGACTACGTGTTGACAAATGCAGAGCACAAAAAGTCAATAAATCCTTACTACACTAATTTCCCATTACTACATTTTACACACATATATAATTATATAAAAGAAGATCTGTATCCTCTACTGACCACATCGCTGCACTGTGTGTGCACATATTAAAGTACAAACAGCAGGGGGTGCTGTTTTTCCTTTGGAAAGAGAGCAACCAGAGATTTACTGTAAATGTCTGTGTTTTGAAATAAGAGATTAAGAATCAGACAATTGAACAGCCTAAGTTAATACTGCCTACAGAATAAAAACACACAAAGCAAACCCAAGGATGAAAGTAGCACAATGCTTTTTTTGATAGAGAGGTGATTATGAGAATCTGGTCTCACTTTTGGATTTAATACTAACTAAACACCTGGCATGAGATAACAACGACCAACCATCCTTACAGTGGTCTAATTTGTTTATGGTAGTCCCATTAATGTATCACAGTTTAACAATAATATAACTACTGATGTTTAAAATGCTGTACACCACATAAATGACCCCAAGGCATTCCACAAGAAGAAATCTTAACAAACCGTTCATTGTTAGCACATCTGTACTGGGTGCTGGTGCACATGGGAAGGCATCGGGTCACACCTCCTATTTGGACAGTCAGGAAATGGTCTGGGCACTCACAGGTGTGTTCCCGCCCCCCATGACGGATCAGGCACAGGTGAGAACAGCCTCCATTGTTCACCGCACAGGGATTGTTCGCTGTTAGAGGAAGAGCCACACGTCGGTCAAACAAAGGATAGGTATTGTTCAGCTTGTGGTCAGCACCTGTTTCCTAAATCAACTTAAACAAAACAAGATTCAGATATTTTAACTCACCAATAGGCTGTCGGTAAGGATGACACACATGGATGTCAAATGGTCTGTGAGTGGTGTTAAGCAGGACCTGCCGATCGGAGCCATCGTATTTGTTGCCTTTCTCCACAGAGCGCGTGTTCCAGTCAGTCCAGTACACAGTGTCTTCGAACACAGTCAAGGCAAACGGGTGAGGCAAATCTCCATCATACACCGAGTGTCTGTGTTGACCATCCAAGTCCGAGTATCTAACAAAGAGAAAAAGAAAGTTAGAGGTCTCACCGCATTTACTGTAACAAAGTGTGATCACTTTCCTGACAAATTATACTTACTCGATGTAACTGAGATGAGCATCAGACCAGTATAGTTTGTCATTAGTGTAGTCTATTGTGATCCCATTGGGCCACTCTATCTTTGTGGTGATGATTGCTACTTTGTTGGTTCCATCCATTCCAACACGACCTATAAAGGCCTTTTCTCCCCAGTCTGTCCAGTACACAAATCTAACAGGGAGGAAAGAAAATTACTTTAGATCACAACATCTACATATATCTGAAGAAAAGACAATCTATACTTAACAAATTTTCCCTCAGTATGAGGAGGAGCCAGATTGATACCGTGTTTTTTAGATACCAATACATACTGAGTAATATTTCAGTAGTTTTTGATAAGGGTCCCTCAAATTTGGTTGTTTAGGATTTGAGACAAAGTTATAAATAACAAATACAAAAGTAACTTTATTTCACAGGTCCATAATTGTTTAATAATTTCCTGGAAACAACTTTGTGTTTTGGTACCAACTGATACATTTCCAGACAATTAATTCCAATTAACCTCGAACGTAACCTGGAGAGTCTTTTAGTCAGTGCACAGCAGGTCAGCTGAATCTGCAAAATTTGTCTGCATGCATTCAACAGTTTCCGATAATAGATGACAAATGATGATGTTACGTTAATATATCCTTGGGTATAAACTGAGCTTGTGAAATTTAAACTGACGAAAAACAGCCTCAAAACTTCTTTCTATTCTGTTAATTTTCCTTATAATTAATACCATATTACATCCTTCTTTCAGGAAGGTTACTGGGAAATTACAGACCCATAGAATAAAGCAATACCAACAAAATTCAACTACACTAAAACTGAATTAATTAAGAAATATATGGATAATAATTCTGCCTATGAAACATTTTTTAGCCCAGCCGATATATCGATCAGACTCTACCGTAACAATTTCCTCCTTGCCACTGACTCACCCATATTTGGGATGTAACACAATGGCTCTGGGGTTTTCAAAGCAGTAGGTGTTATTGGCATCAACGCAGTGTTCAGCCAGTTTCTTCACAAATCGACCATCCAGTTCAGACACTTTGAGACAATCCAAGAAGCTGTCCACCCAGTAGAGTTTCCTGGCTATCCAGTCAACTGCAAGGCCCTCCCCATGCAGAACTCCATTGACCACCACCTCTCTGTTACTGCCATCGAAGGACATCCTCTCAATCAGTCTGCGGCTCACATCAATCCAATAAAGGCGCTTGTCGACACGATCAAAGTCCATGGCAACCACGCTTGTCAGACCCTGCAGGATCAGAGAGTAGGCCTGCCCGTCTGTTGACAGGTTCCTAAGGTAGTAACGGTTGCTGAAGATGAGGTAGGGGGAGATGTTGCTGTTTTGACGGCAGCTGCGGCCATCAGGCTCTCGGAGGAATCCCGGGGCACACTTACACATGTAGGAGCCGACGGTGTTCTCACAGACCTGGCTGCACACGCTCGGTGTCTCTGCACACTCGTTGATATCGTCACACGTTTTACTGTCAGACATGAGGCGGTAGCCAGGACGACAGGTGCAGATAAAGCTGGTGGGTGTGTCGGTGCAATTGTGATCACAGTGATGGATGGATGGGTCTGTGCATTCATTGACACCTACAGTCAAATGAGCAAAATATCAACATTATTAAAGTCATCAGCAAAGATTTTGTATCCTGTCAGATCTATTCATCGAAAAAGAAAACAAAGATTAATATTTTTGGTGGGGTTTTCAGCATTTACATTTGACAGTATTTATTTATTTTAGAAAGCACAAATATTCTATAATTTGGTTGTTGTCCAAATTGTAATCCAACCATTTCTGGATGACATTGAATTTGTGGTTGTATTTCTCTGTCTTTTCCCACACTGCACTTCTTTGACATCTCCCCTAGAGGGAGCATGCACCAGCTAGAGAAACCAAACAGCAGACAAAACACTGAAAGGTTAAGAGGATATTACTAACAGCACAACTATTCTGAAAATCTTACTCACCACATCCCTTCTCGTCGCTGTTGTCAGAGCAGTCATCGTTCCTGTCGCACACCTGGCTCAGGGGGATGCAGTGTCCATTGTCACATTTGAACTCCCCAGGGGGGCAGGTGGGTACTGGTGTGTGGCACATGTGCTCCAGCTCATCAGACTCGTCCCCACAGTCGTTGTCGCCATCGCAGACAAAGTCATGGGACACGCAGCGACCGTTTTGGCAGGTGAACTGGTGTTGCTGGCACGCCTGGTAGGTGCAGCCCTGCTCGTCACTGCTGTCCCCGCAGTCATTGCGTCGATCACACCTGATTTTAGAAGACAGGCCACGAAATATGAACTCTGAACAGACTGATTACAGATGTAGTTAATGATATTTTAGGAGGAGTTAATTGTTCTAACCTGTAGGAGCTGCGTATGCAGAGGCCATTGCTACAGGTGAACTCATTGATGCCACAGGATCTGCGTGTGCAGTTCTGATGTTCATCTAAAGCATCTGCACAGTCTGCATCTCCATCACACAACCAGTCACGTGGGATACACTTCCGCTGAGGTGGTTGGTTGTTCACACAGGTGAACTCTGCACTTGAACATGTGCGATTGGCTGGAAAAAACAACAAAATCAGGCAGGGGGATTTACAAGAAGTTAAATAACAATAGCGACAACTCAGTGTCAACCTGCATTTTTAGAAATACAAATATTCCAGACTGTATTTCAAAACACGCAGCCATGACTTTGAATTCTTTATCAATCTAAGTTGATTGATTCACATTGTTTGAAGTGAGTCTCCTACAGAGGCTCAGGCAGTGCTGAAATCTTTAGCTTCAGGCATCTTATTGTCGGAGCACACATTGGAGAGACATAAGTGTCTTGATCCACCCTGAGCCAGGAAGCGAGAGAAAGGAGACATGCACAAAGTAACGAGTGAGGCAGGAGAAATCAGGAATGTCAGCTCCTTGGAATGGAGACCTTCTGCAGGAGACTTAGATGCACTGACTGCCAGTGTCTCCCACACAACTCTCCCCAGTGGTGTGTATCCTAATCCATCAGCTTCCTGAATAACGAGAGGATGAGGGAAGCAGGAGGGTGCAAAGTGGAGAAGTGACAGGGAACAAGAGGATAGGCTACAAGGGGAGTCGGAAGTGGAAAGATGCAGAAAAGGATGAAGAGGATGAAAGAGAAATGAAAGGATGCATACCACAATTATGTCTCTGGTCTTCATCACTCATGTCGCCACAGTCATTGTCCCCATCACAGATCCAGGATGAGGCAATGCACCTGCCATCATCACAGCGAAACTGATCTGTGTTGCAGGTTCTGACCAGTGTGGCTGCAGAGACAAATCATGAAACATTAAAATGTAGATAGCACAGTTCTGGGATTTAATATCTTCTACCAAATCATTTAGATTCAATATAGACAATATTATGACTTTTTTGTGACTTATTTTAAACTTTTTGTGATTGCCAATTATCTCAGGTACTTCCCCCACTGCTTTTCAACTAATAAGGACGGCACAATACAACACTGGCAAAGCTTTCAAAATAGTCATGGCAACTCCACATTCCCATGCATGGTGAGCTATCTAAACAAAAGCCAAAGTGAGGCTCTGTAACCCCTGGTGGACAAAGGGAGGGGGAGGTGCTGTTTGTCAGAGGACACTGAGGGGCGTCACCACAGAGGAATGCAGCGCACAATAGGAGGCCTGACTGACCACATCGTCAACAAAGAGATACACCACTGACTCGCACTCTCCGCTACATCACTCACAGCTCTCTCTCACACCAGCACACAGATGCAGATTGGCGGACAGACACAAACACACAATAACCGAGCAGCTGATAATGGGGCGGGGACAGACACACAAAGCCAACGGGACCGCTTTGGGGGTTGAGAGAGTTGTGCGACACTCACTGCAGGAGAGGGGTTCATCAGAGCCGTCAGAGCAGTCAGCCCCTCCATCGCAGTGCCAGTGGGCGGGGATGCAGCGACCGCTAGAGCAACGGAACTCACTCTGGGAACATGTGGATGTCGCTACGTAGAAGATGAAGAAAAGAAAGGCATGAAATCACTTGGAGGACTTGTTGGTGTGGGAATCTTAACATGCAGATGAGGGGGGGTGGGATAGAGAATCTGTTTCTGACTCTATTATATCTTCTCTCTCCTTACTTTAGGAGTAAAATCCTGTTTCACCCAGATTGTGTGGATTAAATCCACACACAGGAAACAAGCAGTGTTTGAAATTATACAATTGCGAGAAGAAGAAAAAAAAGTTTATGATGTTTAGTGAGGAATCTTCTTCTGGTTGTTGTGAGGGGCTCTATCATCTATGCTATTCCCTGGAACTGATAGGGCCATGTCCAAAATCACTCCTTTTGCTACCTATAGCGTGATGTTTACTTTTAGCTATTTTATATGAGTTTCTGAAAACTTTGTGTGAAATATGTATGTACTGTCAGAGTAATTTTGGACACGGTTGTCAGAAGACAACAGGCTTTTTTCACAGTCAACACTTTGACTTGTCATAGCAGGAAAAGTGTTACTTATAATATTTATGATAGTTACATCCCATTAAAGTGTCCCAGTAAGCCAAGCCAGTGAACTAGCACTAATAACACCAGAACCCTAGAACTGGCACACCTAAATAGAATCCAGTCATAATTAATGTTATTAATTATAACTGTGCCTTTTCTGCAAGAACATGCCAAAAATATCTGCTGTGAAAAAAGCCTTTTCGAGCTACAACTGCATGAGATAAGTTGTACAATTCATATAGTGACAAATAAATATTAGGAACATAAAATTGATTTAATCCTGAAACTGCTGCTGAACTCACCACAGTGTGTAGGGCTCTCGTCGCTCATATCCCCACAGTCGTTGTCTCCATCACACAGGTATGAACGTGGGATGCAGATGTTGGTAGACTGACATTTCGTGTGCTCTGGCTGGCAGGTTCTCTCCGCTGAGATAGTCATAAATAGGAACATATTTACAGAACAGTATTTAAGTCATAACCCTTTTTATGTACCTCAGTTTGATTTCTGAGGATACTCACGGCAGTTCTGTTCATCAGATGTGCCGTTGTCATAGCAATTATTGATGCCATTGCAAACATAGTCCTTTGCGATGCAGCGCCCATTGTTGCAGGTGAACTCTGTGTTGGGGTCACATGGTCTGAACAGACAGCCCACCTCGTCACTATTGTCTCCACAGTCGTCATAGTGGTCACAGCGGTAGTGGTAGGGCACACAACGGCCGTTGCCACAAGTAAACACTGTGGGCTCACAGGTGTGGAAGGCTGCCAATCACAATCAAGAACAGGTCAGAGCGCTGGCCAATAGAGAGAGACAGGTCAGGAGAAACGGGCATGACAGACACGTGCAGTGAAAGCTCATTTTACCTGACAAGGCAATAAAGGATGACAGCAACTGTGGGACTGCATGCAAAGATATAAGCACATTGATTCATTTGTTAGTGTTGATTTGTTTTAATATTGTTAGTGGAAATTCAATCATGAAGTGCAAGCATACACACCGACAGAGTTGAAGTGAACTTTAGGTCCTAAGAAAGGAAACGTGTTAAAGCAAAAATATAGAATTTGTTAGTATTAGTGAAAGTGAAGAGAAGAGAGTTCTGATTCACTCATGCAGGAGTACTAACGGCTCTAATAGGATTGCGATGACTAATAATCAACAGTGAGATTTTCAACAAAACACACAATGAGGAAGAAATGCAACACAAAACAAGCTCTTTTAAGATCACCCTACCACAGACTCTCTCCAGCTCATCGCTGCCATCTCCACAGTCGTTGTCATTGTCACATTTCCACTGGGCGCGAATACAGCGGCCGTTCATACAGGTGAACTGTCCCGGCTGGCAGCGAGTCCCATTATCAGGGATACAGTGCTTGTTGTCAGCCAGGTACCAGCGGCCCTCTGATGGACACTGACACTCAGCTCCATTGGGTCCTAACAAGATAAAAATGCTTATTACAGTCTCTACAGTTACTTGGGGGTTTTCGACTGAAAAACAAAGCGACAGAATGTAACTGCTTGTACCTGGTGTACAAATGTGGCTGCAGCCTCCATTAAACTGCTGGCAGGGACTATCACACTGCTGCTGCTTACTGCTGGCCAGAACATGGATGTCCATTGGACGAGATGGAAGGTTTTGAATCATGACCCTCTGGTCAGAACCGTCATGCTTGTTGGCCCGATAGATGCTGCGTGTGTTCCAGTCAGTCCAATAGATGAACTGGCCAAACATGTTCATAGCAAAGGGGTAGATGGCTGTGCTGACGATGACCTCCCGATTGGACCCCGTGAGAGAAGATCGCTCAATCTTCTGTCTAATGGCAGAGCAAAGTATTAGTAATAGCAGTAGATAGACGATATTGAGAATATATTTATCTAACAGTGGAATTTTTCAGATCTTACAAACTGGCGTCTGCCCAATAGAGTCTCTCTTCTTCGTAGTCCAGGGTCAGTCCATTGGGCCACACAAGACTGCTGTTCACAATCTCGGTTCTGAAGTTTCCACCTAAGGTAGCACGTTCAATCTTTGCATGGGTTCCCCAGTCTGTCCAATACATGTATCTGTGGAGCAAGGACAGATTCATTTTTAAATCTCAGTTTAATCCAATGAACAAAAAGAGTGTGTGTTGTGTTAGTCTTACCCCCTGCAGGGATCCAACATGATAGCTCTAGGCCTGGACACATGGGCAATAATAGTCCTTTGAGCGCCGTCCACAGACATGGAGCTGATGCTCTGGTTGACATAGTCACTGTAGTAAATTCTTCTGTTTATCCAGTCATAAGCAATGCCATCAGGAGCCCCTAGATCTGTCCATAGACAGGGTCCAACACAACATCAGCAATATCACTGGCATCAATTTCAACATCCAAGAAAACCTCCAAGATGAACAGATGAAGTTAAGTGCAAAACTTACCTGAAGCCACAGCTACAGGAGCTGACGTAGGGGAGGACAGGCTGATGTAGCTGATCTTGCTTGCTCCTGTACCTGAGCTCTGTGTAAAGTAGATCCTTCTGTCTGTGAGGTCAAAATCCAGCGCCACTGAGGTACGCGGCACATTGACCACAGGGAAGGGCAACGCATGGTCCTCTGGGTCGAGGCGCAGGCTGCGCACGGTGCTCTCAGTCGTGTAGATGAGATAATCATCCCTTGACACCACACAGCTCTCGTTATCGGCTGCAAGATTCCCAAAAGCACAGCTGCATTTTTTGTCACCTGTGCCAGACCCTGGGAGGGCGAAGCAGAAGTGGCCACAACCTCCATTAGCCTCCATGCAGGGGTTGTAGTTAAGCTCCCGGGCAGTGGTAGGTTGGGTACGCTGGTCAAAGATGGTAACGTCCCTCAGCATGTTGATATTGTCTCTAATGACAGCGGGCTGCTCCGTGCTGCCAGGCTGTTTGCTTGCTTGGAACACCTTCTTGAGGTTTCTGTCCACCCAAATGATGCTATTCTCAAACACTGTGATTCCATAAGGAGTCGGGTAGCGGCTGCCGTACCTGACTATCTCTGTCTCCCCTCCTTGAGGGCTGACTCGGGCGATCATATCCAGGGAGTCATCAACCCAGTAGACGTAGCCAGTTTGCCAGTCCAAAGCGAGACCTCGTGGAGTAATAATCCCTGATGACACTAAAACTGTGCGGTTGGTTCCGTCCAAGAGTGCTCGCTCAATTTTGGGGTTCTGGCCATAATCAGCCCAGAACAAGTATCTGTTTCTGGGGTCCACCACGATGTCGCGTGGCATGTCCACCTGGGTCTTCAGCAGCACCCTGCGGAAGGTGGTGTTAAGGCGAAGCACCTCCACGTATGTCTCAGTTAGGAAGGCGTTGGTGAAATACAGGTTCCCTGAGGAAAGAATCCAGTTAGCTCGTTGTTTAAAGTGGCATCATATATTTGTGATGACAGCATGAGTTCATTAATCACAAACTGCTAACTGTAATAGGTCACAATTAAAGTAGACTATTAAGATGGTGTTATCAGTACCATGTACTTCAGTTATAGTGACGCAATTATAAATGAGTAAGAAGCAAACAGATTCCCCCACCTGCAGCTGTCACTATTTTCCTAAACTAGCTAATTCTCATGTCACCTGTGTGGGACTGATCTCCCCGCTCTGTGAGACTGGCACTGTCAAAAAGCTTCTTAACTTTGACTCTACCAGGCAGTCTGCTGTCTGAGGCCTGAGTCATGCAGCAGGTTTAAATTAGTCAGGCTCTCTGATTAAGAGGTTGTTTCAGACATAATAGGTAGAGGTAAGGTGAAAGATATTGAATATAAGCACACAATCAGAATACTAAAAATACAGAAATAGTACCAATGTGTTAGAATTAGCAAAAAAGTACATGGAAATGAATTACTCATGTTAATATTAATACTATAGGCTATAAACACTTTCAGCATTTTCAACGTGTTAAGTAGCTTTAAATAAGAATGGGAAATAAATGTATTACTGAGCTTTAAGCTCTTATGCGCAATTAACAAATTAACATAAAGGCCATTTTAACAGAAGTTTAAGAAATACAGTGTAATTCTCTATAATATATTCAACAATATTTATAAGGGTTAAATACTTTGATGGTAGTGAACTTAATCTACATCAATTTCAGGACCAAGACCTACATAACTAGTGACAGAGATTACCAGCTTCAATCAGTGTTGTAGAAGAACTTCACATAGGTAAAAATATATGACTTATGTTAAAATTAGAAATGCAATCAGGAGTGCACTGAGTGGATGTATAACACAGACCTTAGAATAACAGTTTATTTCACTGTTGTGACTTAATTGCACACTTCTTACAGTATATGGTTAAATAAAATAAATACTTAGATGGCACAACAGCATACCTGCAGCCCAGTCCACAGCAATGCCTCGTATCCCGTTGCGTCCGATTCCAGATGTTACTACACTACGTAATCCTGAGCCATCTGGCTTGATCCGTCTGACCCCATTCTGTGTCGCCACAGTGCTGCTGAAGTCACACCAGTAGATGAAACCAGAGACCATGTGTACATCAATGTGTAAGGCATTACGACCTGCAGGAGGATAACCCGGTCATAAGAAGCCAAACACAAACACACCACCATTTGATATTCAGTCAGTTATTCAGTGTATTATTCCTAAACTATTTTTTATTGTTGAATTTACTCAAAAATCTAAGAAACTTTTTCATATAAAATATATACAGTAAAACATACAGGTAATTTATGAGAATCACTGACCTCTTCCAGCCACAGGCACCATGGCCTCAGAGTGGTCTGCCCCTTCCAGGCTGAAGCCTTTGATAGCTGACAGAGTAGAGATGACTACATAGGACTGGTAGGGAGCGCAGGTCCTGTTGTCAGCATTGAGTTTGAAACCTGTGGCACATGCACAGGTAAACAGACCCTGTGGCCGAGGCAGGCAGAGCTGCTCACACGCTCCAATATTGTTGGTACAGCCATTGGATGTACCTGCAGAGGCTGGGTTTGTAGAGAGAATACAGTATGACAAGCATGGAAAGAAAGCAACAACAAGCCAAAAACAGACAACAGCAAATGAGGAAGATGATGTCTCCTTGTATTACTCACTCTCTCTATAATGCACTTTCAGAACTCTGAGTCCAGAAACGTTGTCTCGCAGCACAACCTTGTTGGCACCCGTGGACTTGTCCACACGCTCTATGACCTCAAAGTCGCGGTCAGTGAAGTAGAGGTAGTTTTCATAGACAGCCACACCCCAGGGGTGAGACAGGCCTGTCACTATGGTGATGCGGTTACTCCCATCTGGATCACCTCGCTCAATCTGTGGAGATTCACGTGTCAGACAGGCACTCAAATATGGTGTATACATTTTATTTTACAATTACTTTTTTAATAATTAATTAACATTAGGTTGCATTTCATATTATGTTTGTCAGAACAAATGGTGATCCTTGAGAGCGGAGGGAGGTGAAGACCCACCATGCCAGTGCTTGTAACAGCCCAGTACAGCTTGTTCTCTCGTATATCCACAGTGAGAAACTCAATGTGATCTAGGTTGTTGGTGAACAAGGTGACAGGGTTTAAGCCATCCATGTCTGCAGATGCCACCTTGGCAGGGATGCCGCTTTCTGTTCCCTGGTCTGTCCAGTATAGTTTTCTTAGGAGACATTCAAGAATGGAGGTTAGTGTTTATATCTCATATATATACAATTTATCAAGTCATCATCTCTATGCTTATTACTTTTTAATAGCCTCATATTTTACAGTCAAACAACTGAGATACAAATTGTCGCTTTCCGTTTATCTTTAATCTCCAAAATATGAACTTTTCCGGAACAGCCTTTCATTTAAATACATTAAAATACACTTCCTAGGTTCATTCAATGGGTTTTCAAAGGTTTTCATTGAGTTAGAGAATGTTCTCAACCCACAGAAGACCAGGTCAAACCTAAGTTAAAGTATGGAAAAGCCCAAAATCAGAGTTACAGTGTTTTCATATTAAAGTGAGAAGGGAGGGCTTATAAATGTCTTTATTGTTTCTTGAGTGTACTCTATTGTACATTGCTGGGGTTTGAGTGTGCAGTGTGGTATTCAGTAACACTAGTTGAGTTCTCTCTAGAGGCAGAGCAGATGGTGATGAGGAGGCTGTTAGAGCTCAGTAGTTGTGGGGATGAGTGGCTGTGCCAGGACTGTGTTAAATGGGGCTTACCCACGTGCTGGGTCCACTGCGATGCCAACAGGACTACCTGCGCCAGTTGGAGAGCCGTTATTTGTGATTAGAGTTTTCCTGTACTGTACCTCCCCTCTCAACTTCAAAACCTGGCCAAGGACAAACACAGGCACAATTATTGAACTGTGTAGCTGTGTTGTGACATACTTTTTCAGATTTATTTTCTTCTTATTATTTATTTCCTATTAGAAGTGCAATCACAAAAGCCAAATGTTATTTGCCTCACCTCAATAGACTGTGTAGCTGGATTGGTGTAGTACAGGTTCTCTGTTATCCAGTCCAAAGCCAGGCCAACAGGGGAGCCAAGGATGGCTGCTGGGGCAAACTCTGTCCTGTTAGTACCATCTGACTTTACCCTGTGGATCTCACCCTGTTGGACAAAGCAAGACAGATTCATCTCAACTACTGCTGAATGTAGATATGCAGAGAGAATCTTGTGTTACGTTTTTCCGGCATGATTTAAATGTGTTTTGTTTTTTACTGTTACAGTTACAGTACATGTACAGTATATCTCTTGCATACCTGGTAGCACTGCGTCTATACACACACAAGTTCCCTGTTTAATGTACCAGATTAAGAAATACAAAACTAAAAGTAGTGTCTTTGTTTGACTTACCGGGTGCTCTACCCAGTAGATGGTCTGTTCGTTGTCATCAAAGTCAACATCATAGCCATTCTGAAGCCCAGCAACAGGGACCATAGCATCATTACTCTTGTCTTCTGGGTTCAAGGAAATGCCATAGATGATGCTGTCTCTCACAACCACCAGAAAAGGATCTTCAACTAAAAAAACAAAACAAAAAACAATACAAAAGCAGTCAATACATTTCTTATTTATGAACAAAACACTCAGGGCTGGGAATTACTTAAAATGTTAACAGTTACAGTTACTAATTCTGAAACAGAGATAGGAAAGCATGTTTCCTGGATGTGGCTTTAGCTCGTGGTAATCCAAAACTTAATGTTACTTTCAGTGTATGATACCAGTTGCAACATAGAGATCCTGAGCTAACAGGTCTTTATCTATAAAGAGGATTGACCGGTGAAAGTTGTTTCCACAATCTGATTTGCTTTGTCATCAGAGATTAGAATCGATGAATGGTTGTGGGGCATTTTCATTCTTGGATAATCATTGGCCTCAGGGGGAGACTGTGTTCTGCTTGGCTTGAATGGGCTGAAACCTGAGATGAGTTAAGCTGTTGACCTAGGGGGGACTCTTTGGACTTCGAATTAAAGGTCCCTTGTCTTCTTAAGACCTTGAAAGACATGCTTATATGATTCTTAATATTTATGACTGGAACAGCAGTTTACAAGAGAATCTAAATGGAAGACTGTTGACAAGTACCTGGATCGATCTATGATACGAGTTTAGTGTTTTTAAAGATTTCTTCTCTTACCAACACTGAGATGGCTGCAAAAGCTGCAAAGCATGCAAAAACCATCATTTCCACAATAACAGGTTTGCTCTTTGCTTTAAAATAAGACGTTATGAGTGCATCAACTTATCAACTGCATCTGACCTGACTTCCTTTTTCATCAAACTGAGTGATGAGTGTTTTTCCTCCAGTTGGCAGGATACATACCTCTGGTGCAGGTGATTTGGTCTGCTGCCAGTGTCCAGCCTGAGGGGCAGGCACACGAGTAGTACCTCGGTCCCACAGCAGAAAGCAGGCAGATATGAGAACAGGGATTCCTCAAGCAGTGATTTTCACCTAAAAATTGACAAACACATGTACACCCACTAAGAGTAAACAGAACAATCCTCAGCGACTCTTAAATTAATATACGAAAACAATGGACTGCATACTGTTCATCATATCATTATCAATACATAACAACTAGCAGACCAATTCAGATTAATGTAGATTATCTTTGCCATACCTGCTGGCTGCCTCGCTGGGTGTACTGCCACAAGACCCATGGGCTGTGGGAGGTTGAACAGCATCACTGTCTGGTTCTCCCCATGCCACTTATGGGCTCGCATCACACGGTTGATGTATCTGTCGGTCCAATACACAAAATCCTCAAAAATGGTAATTGCGTGGGGATGTTGCAGTACCTTTTCATAGAGAGTAGCAAAAGAAAAAAAAAAGTGTGTCTTACACATACTATTCAAAAGGAAATTGAATGTGCTCTGTTCACTTTTAGATTAGTAACATAAATAACAGATAATTCTTCTCATACACTCACCAGGTCACTAGCCACAACTTGTTTCCTGTTGTTGCCGTTATAATCGCAGTAGTCAATGAAATCCAAGTAGGCATCAGCAAAGTACAACAAATTGTTTGGGTAGTCTATGGTTAGACCATTGGGCCAGTACAGCTTGTTGCTTATGATAACAGTCCTCAGTTTCCCATCCATGCTGGCCTTCTCAATGCGGGGGTTCCTGCCCCAGTCCGTCCAGAACATCAGGTGGGCACTGCAAAACAAATGCTCTTCCTTTAACACCAACTGCTATGATCATGAAAAGCAGACACCATAATTACGTTCCAAGACAAAGACAGATTTGAAACAAACTTGTTTCTATATATTTCACTGACCTGTCCCTAGGGTCCAGCACCAGGCCTCGGGGGTTGGTAACATTTTCACTGACTAATACGGTGCGGTGCGTGCCATCCAGTTTAGACACTTCAATGGTCTCCAAGACAAAGTCAGTCCAGTAAAGGTTCCTTCCCACCCAGTCCACAGAAAGGCTCTCTGTTACGGTCACTCCACTGTCAAATATCTGTTCGAAAGAAACTCAGTTAAATATGTTCACATGTGAAATGTAAAGCTTGGAATAAACACAAAAGGTTTTAGTGCAATATGTCTGTAGTGACAAAAAGGAACAAACCCACTCACCACAGTTCTGTCACTGCCATTTTTGTTAGCACTCCAGATTCTGTCCTGGCTTGTGTCGGACCAATACACACGGTCGGTGACAGAGTCAAAATCTAGGGCCACGATGTTACGTCCATCTCGAACCAGTGAGCGCACCACATTGGGCTGAGAGGTTATGTCATCTTGCACAATCTGATTTCGACTGGCAACTAGCAAGAACGCCTGACGAGAATCTGTAAAGAGACATCAAATCTCTGTTACCTATTATTCATGTCCATTCTCATGCTAATAAGAGCACTTATCAGCTTTTGCATGTCGACTAAAACTCTCCAACAGGACTGTTAAATAGATCCTACTCAAATGGCAATCTTTGGGGAATGCACTTTTGTCCAAATAATGACCTATTGTATTGCAGGGCCTTTCAACGGGGTTATCTGTGTGGAAGAGGAGCTCATGTCAGGCACACTCCCCATAAACAGCCCTTTGTTGGTGATTATGTCCTAATTACACCAGTGATGGCCAGTGAGTGACACATATGTTATTTGTCTTATCTATAGAAATCAGAGCAGCAAGGAGAGACAAGGGAGAAGAAAGACGGTCTGTCAGTCTCGCAGTCTAGGGGCCAAACTTCCCCTTTAATCATAGCTCATTCCTGTCCAAGAGCCAGCACAGTGGAGAAAATTTAGATGTGTGATGTATAAAGACAAATCATCTTGACAACCAAACTACTGTAGGACTGATAATTGGCCAATTTCCTATTTTACTGTATTATGAAACTATAGGTTGTTATTTACAACTACCAGTGGAGCAATATGTCCCATGCACAGAAGATTTAAGTCAAACTCCTCCTCACCTGAGGCCTTGCAGGTACGCTGGTCTACTTCGAGAGTGTAACCATCCTGGCAGTGGCAGCGGAAAGAGCCTCTCTCATTAAAGCAGTGCTGGCTACATAGGCCAGGGGGATTACACTCGTCTACATCCTCACAGGTTTTGGAGTCATTGCTCAGCTGATAACCCAGAGGGCATGTGCACTGGGCCCCAAACGGCCCTTGGATACAACCGTGGGTGCATCCAGCATTGTTGTCAGAACAGCTCTCCTGATCTGAGTTGAAAGCAGAGAAAACACAATTTAGAACCAAAAACGGAAATGAAAGTAAATGATAACTCACACAAATACAAAATCTACCAATTTATACAATTAACATACATCCTCTAATGATAATTAATGAACAACAAAGCACTAACTATTTTGTATCAATACTCGTGGCAAGTTATTATTACATTTACCACACACGCTCTACTACCAACACAATTTCTCTTTGATCATGTTTTGAAACAAATCTATAAATATCAAAATTAATAAAGTTAATAAAGATCCTGTGTTTGTTGAAAATGAATCAAAACTACTTGCAGCATTTCTACCAATGATTGAGAGTTTGTTCCTACCTGGCAAAGGCTCATCTGAAAGCAGTGAGAAAGGCAAGAAAGGAAAATCACAGATAATTCCCAGGTTAATACAGGTCAAATCAAACACATGCATGATTTAAACACAAGAATCCAAAGACAAACAGATAACATTCAACACAAAATTTATGTGAAATGAAGCCCCTCCTGTTCACAGAATACAGGCACCAGAAGAATGTCAAATAAAATACAATCAAGTCAGAGTTTGATCCTGTTTGTCATGTGATATTAAAGTTTAATTGAATTTGGGGATGCCAAACTTAGAAATGTAATAAAACAATCAAGTCTTTCCGATAGACATAGAACATGTTCCAGGCTGACTAAGAAAGCAGAGATCAGACTTACTGCAGAGAGGAGACTCGTCAGCACCATTGGGGCAGTCAGGGGTGTTGTCACACACCGTGGTGAGGTTAATGCACACACTGTGGCCAGGACACTGCCACTGCCAGCTTGGACATCGGAAAGGCGGCGTGGGGCAGTCTCTTTCATCACTCATGTCCCTGCAGTCGTTGTCCCCATCGCAAATCCAGCTGCGTAACACACAGTTTCCATTGTCACAGTGGAAGAGTGAGGAGGGGCAGGTGCGAGGCGGGCAGGCATGGTGCTCGTCGCTGCCATCCTCACAGTCTGGATGACCATCACACTCCCAGGTAGACGGGACACAGCTCCCGTCTGACTGACACTGGAACTCAGTCTCATGGTGGCACATTCCTGGGGGCCTAGTAGCTGAGACGCATTAGAAAACACCACAAGCAACATGTTAGCACAGTCCAAAATGAGAGAAAATCTAAATATGTTAGCAACCTTGTACATAATTATACAAGACATGAGTAATATAACCAGTATGTAAATACTTACGACAGTCTTGCTCATCAGAGCGATCACTGCAATCAAAGACTCCATCACATCGGTAGTAGGAGTTGATACACTGGTGACCTCTGGAGCACTTGAACTCATTCACAGTGCAGTTGTATACTGAAAAAATCCAGTTGAGTATGTTAAACCTGATATTCAATATCTGTGCAGTTGTATGCATGCTGAGCTCAACTGTTGTGCAACACAGGTCATGAGATCAATAAACTAAGAGGCTTAGCAAATGCTTAATTTTACAGAGCATTCAATTGACCTCCACAACTTTTAAAACATGTTCAGCTGGTACAAACAGGACATTGCTGAATGCATGAATGAAGACATGAATGACTGGACAAAGGAATTAATTATTTGTTGGGAAAGGGGGCAATAAAGCTCAAGTTCACAGTATCTCAAAGTGTCTGGGCTGAGGCATAGGAAAAGCTGATGCAAATAAATCTTATTTAGCAAATAATTCTATTAATGTTTTCATTACAATATAAATACAGTCTGGGTGAAATTAAATAGATTTCAGCAAACACAGCTTTGTGTAAAAATACTTGATGTGTTATAAGTAAGCACCAGATGAGGCCTGCTACTATATGTATGTCCACGGAGAACCAGAAAGGTACTCACTGCATCCCTGCTCGTCTGCCCCATCCACACAGTCCCTGTCCCCATCACAGACATAGTTGGGGTCTATGCAGCGGTGGTCTGGACACTGAAACTGTCCTGGATGACATGTGCTTCCCAGATCTGTCAACACAGATTGTAAGATAACAATAGTACAATAGAGTCTATGAGCTTATCTCCTTGTCTTTCTTGGCCAAAACATACAATACTGTACAAGTTTAGAAAAATATAATTCAAAGGGACAAAAATATGCTTCTATAAATAGCTGATTAATAGCAGCTGATTAATGGTCCTATTGGATCCACAGTTGATTCAGTGTAGTTTAAAGCCAAAGCGTTTTTAGTAATGGGACATTCAACATCATGATCATAGATAAACTAAAGAGACATCTAAAAAATGAATCCTTAGCTATGTCCAGTAGTGTATTGGCCAGATTTAATTTAAATGTTTTTATAATTTGGACTATATACATAGGTTTATTTATCACTTCATCAAAAACTGTGCAACAAATGTACTTCAAGGCATATTAAACTCACTCTTTAGAAATTAAATGTTTAGTTTACCAAACTTTTTTCAGTATTTTCTTTTATAACTGTGTTCTTTCTTTTGCCTTTGCTTCCTGAAATAAAGTCCTGCTACTGCATTGAATTTGAGCTACTTGCCCTGTTTCTGCCTATTACGTATTTAGAATTAACAAAACATGTCTCATAGCAAATCCTATTAATTAAATTAAAATAAAAGTTGATAGCCTCTATGGGGATACTCACGGCAGTCAGCTTCATCTGAAGCATCCCCACAGTCATTATCAGTGTCACAGCGCCAGGTATTTGGGATGCAGCGGTGGTTGGAACAGGTAAACTGATTGGCAGGGCACGTTCCAGGTACCCGTGTAGGGCAGTTGTACTCATCGCTATTATCAAAACAGTCATTGTGTCCATCACAGCGCCATCCTGCAGGCACACAGTGCCTATTTGCACAGGTGAATGCAGAGGGGGAGCAAGTGGTGTCTGAAAAAAGAGTTGACGATCTTGATTAAATATTATAATATTAAACTAAATTTGAAAAAACCTAGGGGAATGAAACTAGTTTTACTCTGGTCAGGTTGGGCCAGTATAATAAACAGCATTTACAAAAAAAAAGCATTACTGTTAATTCCACAGTTGACTTCGTCACTGTTGTCATGGCAGTCGTCAACACCATCACATCTGTAGCTGTTTGGGACACATTTGCCGTTGCCACAGGAGAAGGAGTTGGCTCCGCACTGCAGTGTGGGGGGCTCACTGGAAGGGTCTTCGACACATGTCTGCTGGTTGGGCATCAGCTTCATGCCATACGGACAGCCACACACCCTCTGTGAATCAGGGGCTGGAAAGCAGAAGTGGCTGCAGTCTCCATTTGGATTTGTCTGCCTGTTGCAGAGGTTGGAACCTGAGAAGGAGAGCGAGAGTGTAATTACCAGGAAAATGACTGACAAGTGCGAGCCTCAGCTACGCATGAATAGTGGAGTGAGAAGAGCAGTGAATAAAGTTACTGACCAATCTGAGAGTTGGAGTTGAAAGACTTGACATGCATGATGTGGCTGATTCCTCTTCTGATAATCATCATTTCCCCACCATCGGTCTTGCGCACACGTACAATGCCACCCAGGCGCCAGTCAGTAAAATATGCATAGCCTTCAAGGGACAGGAGCAACAGAGCATAACATCAGTTACTTAATCTCTCATCGCCTCCTGGTAACAGTAATTGCTCTTTTGACATGATAATCATAAAAGCAAGAATGACAAACCACATTTCGAGTCAATGACAGTGAAATTCCTTCTCTCATTATAGTTTAAAATACATGATTCTGTACTGGAGCTATTACCTTCAAAAATGGTGAGACCAAATGGATGGGAGATCTGGGTTATGCGGTCCAAAGAAATTCTGTTCTGTCCATCAAAATTGCTGTGTTCAATTTTGTCAAAAAAGGCATCGACCCAATACAGACGCATTGAGCTGGGTGGAGAACAAAGCAGAGAGAAAGAGTTCACATCACAAATGCTGTCAGAAGAATGATCAGAAAAAATACAGCTATAGACCCCACAATTTAAGGGTAAAACAAGGAAAGATTACATAAATCTTAAGTGTAGCAAAGACGGTGAAATGGTGTATTGTGGGACTGTTCTTTTAGCCAGTGGCTATAGGATGTTTGACTCACCTCCAGTCGATAGCTAAGCCATTTGGCCAACCAAGAGTAGTGTTTACAATAGACAGGGCATGTGACCCGTCAGCCCAAGCCCTCATAATCTTCGCTGGCCGGTACCAGTCAGTCCAGAAAATATACCTGTGGAAGTAAAATAAACAACAAGCATAAATGTCATCTTTCATTAAAAAATATACTTTAAAAACTGTGAAACATCGACTGTACCTGGGTGACAAAAACCCTTTTTATTTAGATTTTATTTTGGATACTTTCACATTATAGAGCTTTTCCGTTTAAGCCAACTTCTTAGTGTTCGCTACAATACTACCCTTCAGGCTGAACTAATCTCAGCTGTTGGACACAGAGGCCTTATGACTTTGAGGCAATTGGGAATAACAGCTTTCTCTAAATAAGGATTTCTTTATTCAGGTGGGAGGCTTAATTTGAGGACATTTTTGAATAGGTGAGCACATCTTAAGGTGTTTTACCAGACATGCGTGGTTGGTTTTGCAGAAACTTCCCTATCCCTAAAAGCATGCAGAGGTTCAAATCCCACGGTTATCAATGATTTACCCAATGAGAGGATGCACCACGATGGCCCTCGGGTTATTGAGGTTACGTATGATGGCTCTCCTGGACTTATCAGCGAGCTTCATGACAGATATGCTCCTGTATCGCGGGTCAGTCCAGTAGAGGTTTTTTGAAATCCAGTCGTAAGCCAGGTCCTCCACTCCATCCACTCTATTGGCTGCCAGTACCTCCCTGCCTGTGCAGATCAAAGCAGTCAGACCACCGTTTAACACAGAGATGAAAGAGGAACACATTTAAATAAATAGGCTGTCAGCTTGCATTTTCCCTGTGTGGACCGGACAGAAAAAACTAGAGCAGCTCCAAAAACAACATCACTGATCAGAGCAGTGGTGTTTCTTTTTTGTGTGGTGTGACTGCTCGTGGATTATCACATTAGTGACTACTTTCCACAGCTTAGGTGATAGTTTTGAAACTAACTAGCAAAACTTCTGAGTAAAACATTCTTGATTATTCTGTCCTACTCATTTTCAGGTCATTAGTTTGAGATGTAAGTTGATTATATGATCCATTTTCCACTGTCCATATACTCCTGTCCTCTCCCTCCCCCATAGTACCAGTCGGCCCCATCAAGCACTCCCTTAACTCCCTGTATAAGCCTGGCTGAATCACATGGTAGAGCTCTCTGCTAGGAAAGAAATTATCCAAGGATGTAAGCACAGAGAAAACACTGAAAACATATTAGCTGCTAATAGTTAGTCATACTCCACACTGTGCCTTTCTTTGTATTATTATTGTTATGCTGTGAATGTGTACAGTAATTAGGATATGCTAAACAATTCAGCCCAGAACGACCAACAAGTTCATGCTCACCAGTCCCATCCACTTTTTGTTTATAAATGATATCCTTGGCTGTGTCTGAGAAGAAGATAGCATCGTCTTCAGCACTAAAATCCACTCCAACAAAGTAGGAAGGTGATCCAGTGACGGGCAGGATGATGTCTTCCTGGGAAGAGAGGTTAAAGGGGATCCCTCTCACGGCTAGCTGGCTGGAGAACAGCAGAAACTGCCTCACAGCTGAAGATGGGGAAATCAGAAGATGATATGAAACAAGATAGCCTTTAATGCCAAAGATCTTAATCCTCACAAAAACATCATAACACAAAGAAAGGGTTAAACAAGCTCTGGGTTGCTGGACAGGTGAGTTTCAGGTGAACATTTACATCTTTAGGGTATTAAGTATAATTTTACATTTTAAACCAGGAAACATATTGAGATCTGTCTGAGAAACAAATCACTACAATTATAAACGGAAGTTCTCTTACCAAAACATCGCTTGCCATCGGCATGTAGGTCGTACCCCATGCGACATTTGCAACGGTAACCCAGTCCTCCATTGTCACTCCTATGACTCAGAACACAGATCTGCTCACAACCACCTTTGTCTGTACTGCAAGGGTTTGGCACTGGAGGCAAAAACAAAACAAATTCCAGTGACTGGCTATACTTGGTGGTATACTTCCTTTACAAACACTGTTACATGTCAGGAAATCTCGGTAAATTCCCATTACACTGGAGAACGAACAGTGAGAACTGTGAGCTGCATCAGGACCACTCTGACTGTAAGAAATGTGGCTCATTGAAAAGCTTACCCTGTGGCTGTTTCAGCTGATGTATCACTGCCACTCCGTGTGGAGTCTGAGATGTACCGTAAACAACTTGAGGACTTCCGTCAGTGAACTTGTTGGCTTTCATTACAGCCATCTTGGTCCAGTCCGTGAAATAGACATTGTGCTCAAACAGACTGATGCCAAATGGGTGTGGGATCACAGCACCTCCATGGACCACGGTTTTTCTATCACAAAAAACATTTTTTTTATTAGAATATAAATACTCTACTCACATAGTTCTTGGAAATAGTTTTTTATGTTTTTGTTTGTAAATTCAATTAAAATACTATTTTTAAAGGAATAACACATGACATATTCACCTGTGAAGGCCATCATATGTCGCAGTTTCAATGTAGTCATAGCGACTGTCAACCCAGTAGATGCGCTGGGCCTCAAGGTCCAGTGTGATACCAGCTGGCCAGCCCAGTTTACTCCCAATAATCCCGTAACGGTTGGTGCCATCCATGAAGGCCCGCTCCAGGCCTGGTTGTCCATTCATGGCCTCCCAATCTGAGAAGAACATGTACCTGTGAAAGGAAGTTAAATGTTTAATCTGCCAGTTTCCTCTGATGGGGATCATTACATGAGGATTGCTTTGTACAGCTGGGACCACTGGAATAACATTATATGTATTCACTTAATAAAAACTATAGGAGACTTCCTTATCATTAATTAAGTCTGGCATCCACAGCATTAGGTCGCAAAGTGGGTGGCTGTGCATCTCACCAAAGAGCTGTACATTAATTTACGATAAGCAATTTATCTGTAGCCACCTGGCTCTCCTCCCCCCTAGAACTATACTATTGGATTACAATGAGGGTCATCACTTACATTGCTCCTCACTAATCCACCCAGGGCAATCTGTTAATCTCACACACACCCCCCATTATTCCATGCCAATGGAGCACGACAGATACTGTATGTGTGGTTTGGGAATGGGTGGATAGATGAATGAATGGAAACTGGGAGATGTGCTTACCCGACAGTGGGGTCCACCGCTACTCCTCTTGGGTTTCCAAGGTTTTCAGTGATGAGTGTGACCCGGTTACTTCCATCAAAGTCCACCATGTCAATCCTGTTGACGCTGGCCTCCACCACATACAGTTTATTGTTCACCCAATCCACTGCCAGGTTCTCAGGGTAGTCAACTGATACATTTAAAACCACCTGCATGTTGGAACCGTCCATATCCACAGAAAACACCTGTACACAAAAGACGCCATTGTTGATAGGAAATTACCCCGTAGGTGGTCACTGACTCCAGGAATAAAGGAAAGATGTTAAAGGATAAGTTCACATTTTTTCAAGTGTATCTTAATACAATACTCAGATGCCCTATAGGTACATTAAAAGTATTATTGGTTAATGAAATTGTTCCCCCTGTCCATCCTGGGCACAAACACGAATCAATGTATGAGGGGATTTTTTACATCAATTTCCGTGTAAAAGATAGGAGACAAAATCCCCAGTCTTCGTTCGGGATAAAAATGACTTCTAAAATGTAGCTTTAGAAGGCTTTAGGCTGAGTCTGAGTTAGATAAATCAAGTCGGCATCTTTCAAAATGCAGTTCTCTTTTGTACAAAATTACCACCTTATGCTTCAATAGACAGAAGGTAATGCAGCAAGCATATTTTGCACCTCATTGACTTGATTTGTTTAACTCAGATGGCTTATAATAGCTTTGGTTGAACATAGACGTTGGATTTTGTCCTCCACCATCTGCCAGTATGAACAGGAAACAATTACAGCAAAATGAAACTATTTCTCTGTACATATGGGCATGCGAGTACTGTTTTAGGTTACACTTGATACAATGTAAACCTATCCTTAAAGACAGAGGATGATTTAAGAGTAGTCTATGGAAGTCAATAGCTTTCACAGGCATGAATGTAACAGTAACACAGGTAGAGGTACAAAAAGGCAGAGAGAGATTATTTGTTTTATTGTCTGATGATTCTGTCTTGTTTCTGAGAAGCTTATAAAGTGTTTTTCTGAACCTGCCACTCCACCGATACTATGATGGCCCTTGTTTCTCAGACTAGAAGTCTTGGCACCATGCAGCTGGTTAGGGGGGTACTGTTCTTAGCAGCTCTGCTTCTTTTGAAACAAGATCCGAACGTCTAAAAAGCAGGATTTTCAACTGACCTGTTTAAAGAGAAACTGAAGATGTAGAAATAGCCTGGTAGTTTAACCTTTCTGGTTGCATTCACATGCCCTGTTTGCGCTTTCCCTCCTTCTAATCTGACATGCTGCCATGGAGGTGGCTGATATACACAGATGCCCAGTCACAGATACGTCCTAGCCTTTCAGCCCAGTGGCTGCAGTTCAAACCATTGAGGAGCCAAAGCATAGGCCGAACAAAGACGTTTTAGCTAGCCAAAGAATGCATATAGATGGACGGTGCCACTGAAAACAAATACAGCATGATTACTTCCAACATGATCGAGTTACAAAAATTGCACCCTGGTATGTGAACATCATACCTGCCTATCAGACAGGCTTCAAGATTAGGCCATTTGGATTCCATTCCACGTCTACTTCCCTTCATTATGACCCAGCCGCAAAGGAGCCAACAGCTATCCCATTATTATAGTATCAACATAGCTGATATTTTAAAGGATAACTGAAAGAATTCCATCCTGGCCAGCTCCAGTCTAACTCAAGTATTTCCTCAAACAAGAAACTGGTCCACCCCCTGTAAACTCTTACCCAGGCATAACAAAGTACGGAGAAACACACAGTAGTAAATACATACAGATGAACATTTTGCTATGGAAATTGGATTTAAAAAATACCTTATTCTGAATGGTATCAGTCCAGAAGATCCTATGGAGATTATAATGGAAGTCCACTCCCACTGCAACGCCTCTGTTCTGTGAATTAACCAAAGTGCGCAGGTTGTTGCCATGGATGTCCCCTATTAGCAGGTCTCTGCCATTAGAAAATATCAAGGAAGGTACTCCAGCTGCAAAGGAAATAAAATAAAGTTACAAACAGCATGAAGACGTTATTTGAAAATGTCAGGTTAGAACCAGAGCCTGATTTGTAGTAAAACAGAAATCAATTTTGTAGTGTGCATACTCAACTTAAAATATCAACGGAAATTTACAGAATGTAGCACATTAATTCAGATCCCTGACTCAGACTAATGAAGGTAGAGTATGTTCTAGCCACTATCATTACACACTCTTTTCACTAAAGCTAAAGGCAGAGAGGTCAGCCTCTCAGTCAACACTCTTTCTATGTTCCACAAAGGCAAGAGACTAACTAAAACAACATTCAGCACGCAACAATGCACCATAAAGAAGTACAGACGCTCAGTAAAGCAGCTATGGTGGTTGGCAAACAGGAAAGGGGGTGTTGCTAATAAACCTAATTCGGATGGATCATTTATACATTCAGAATGGGAGCATACTGTATGTAAGATATGACACTCACTTGAGACGTCAGCTCTGCAGTATCTGTGCTGCTCCAGGATGTAGCCCTCTCGACAGCTGCAGCGATGGGAGCCTACACGTTCCTCACACAGCTGGTCACACACGCCCCACATTGAACAGTCGTCAAAGTCTTCAGCATGAAATGAAAATCACAGCAGACTAGGATTAAACACAGATTTGTTTTGTCTGACTGAAATTACACATTAACCTGTGATCAGGTGTGAATCAACAAAATGGTCCTTTTAAATATCTGAATCCCAAGAAAAACTGCAGATTTTGTGTGCATTTGTTTGCAAACCTGAGGTGAGTTGTTTGGGCTCAGGCCAGAATAAGATTGAGTGCCAGTGTTTGTGTGCACAAAGTTTAGGTCTTATCTGGGCAAAGTTTTTTCTGTGTACTTCTGGTATCCTGTGATTGAGTATCTCTGTTGTTAACAGAATGATGTCACACTCTTACAGTAAAAACTGGAACCAAAAAAAAGGTATGAAGAGAGAAAAGGTTTTCCAGTACTAGCTACTCCTTATCTCATTTATTGAACCAAAGTAGACGCCTTCCATTACATGGAAAAGCATTGAGCATCCCAACTTATCCTTCCTGTTGTCTTATATGAAGAAAAAATCTCAAGGATAATGTAAGGTCAATGAAGGATACATACCTATACATGAGCGACTATTGTTGCTGCTGACAATGTATCCGGAAGGACAAGAACAGGTCCCTCCATCGGGGGAAGCATGACAACGATGCTCACAGCTCAGAGAGGCACATCTCCAGATACCTGACCAACGCAGAAACCAGATTAGACAGTGATTATATTTATACAATAGCATAGTTTCTGTGATATTCGATGTCCTATTGTGCACTTGACACAAGTTGTGATGGTACTAACTGCAGTTGCGCCCAGCAGTGGTGTTAGTTTCATCCTCTCCCTCGGGACAGTGAGCTGTCCCATCACACAGCTGATCCATGGGGATACACAGGCCAGTGGACGGACAGGGCCATTCTCCTGGGTAACACTCCCGCTGTACATTATCTGCAGGCAAAACAAATTCAATATCTTTGTCTGTGCAGGCTTACACATCAGAAAATCAGAAAACAGGACAGCAGAGCATTTCACATGTGTTAGACTTTAGGAATTCGAAAATATTCACAGTGCATTAAGGGCAGGGAGTCTTAACTCCACAGGAATGTGGTGCTGATCTTAAAAAAATTGTGACTGGGACTTTCTTGTCAGGGAAAATACTGTCACTTTAAATCGATGCAGGGGAGTGGAGCTCTGAGGGGGTCACATGGGGGCTCAGAGGGCTTCTGCAGCCCATCCTCTAAAAACACACACTCTTCACAGCCGTGTGGAGGAATTCTAAAGCCCTTTGGGGGGCTGCGCAATCTTGTGCCACAAAGAGGCATTTGAATAACACACTTAAAGGAGCACAGGCATAGCGTCTTGCTAGCCCAAACCAACCATGGAGACAGGGGATGAATCAGGTTCAGACAGAGAGCCTGAGTTGTTACGCATTGTAGTGTTTCTTAACCGGCCAAATGTAAAAAGTTTCTTGTCCAACAGCAAAAATTTGCTAGATTTATGAGAACTTGTTTCCAAATATTGTATCCATACCACAGCCTTTTTCGTCTCCATTGTCCTCACAGTCATCCTCTCCATCACAAACCCAGATTCGGTGGATGCAGCGTCCACTGGGGCAGGTGAAGTAGTTCCCTCTGCATGTAGGATATGCTGCAGGTGAAGTGGAACATATTAATACACAGAAAAGATCAGAGACACATACATTTCTCTGGGTGAGGATAAGAGTCATAAAACAGACAGTGGGGTTTGATTACAAGGGAAGAGGGTAGAAAGACAGAGGCCACATACTGCAGTTTAGCTCATCACTTCGGTCTCCACAGTCATCGTCATGGTCACAGACGTAGCGCTGAGGAACACACAACCCATTATGACATGGGAACAGGCCCGCATTGCAGTGCTGTGCTAAAGAAAACACAACAAAAAAAAGACAAAAAAATATGTATTTGGTGATGATGTCATGTTATGGATGGTATTTCAACAAAGACTTCCACTTGAACAGTTTGTCACCAAAATTAATTACTTACTGCAATTTGCCTCATCGGAGCCATCACGACAGTCAAGTATGTGGTCACATCGCTGGGTCCGGTTGTAGCAGGCCCCATTAGCACACCTCAGCTCTGTACACTCGGGGTAATCTGGAAAGATTAAATCATTATCAGCACAACGCAATGCCTTCAAATCAGCCTGACAACTGTGCTCTTTTCGGCTTTTAAAGTGTGCAAAGCTCAGTGAATGGGAAGAATGAGAGACTAAAATTTAACGCCTCCACCATAACAACAGCAGTCGCCACAGCGGTCTTTATGCAATTGTGAGATTACCACAGTGTGTAGTGCTGTGAGTCTACCATGTCGGCACAATAATGGCATAGCAGCTGAACTTCAGCTTGACTAATCCACCAAGGAATCTGCAATCAACCTCTGACAACAAGAAGCATATTGTGGCCCATTCTGTCAGTCAGCGAGCCTCTTAATCTTAACAAATTGATTAAAATGCCACAGGAGCCTGAGATAATAAAAAAAAAAGGGAAACCACCCTGGAGAAGACTTACGGCAATCTCTCTCATCAGACCCATCTGAGCAGTCCGCCAGACGGTCACATCGGTATTCTCCTGGGATGCATGCCCCGTTACTACAGCTGAACTGCCCACTGGTGCACGTCCTTCCAGCTGGGGGCAAATAGATAGGACAGGAGAGTGACTAAGTGGCATATATAAAGGTCGGGATCTACTTGTACTTTAGATAAAGGTGCTGAACTTCCTCAGTCACACAGGTGGCTATGGTGGGTACATATTTTAAGATCTTACTGTTCAAACCTAAACACTTTCATCAAAACATCAGGAATATTCTATTTAATGTAACGTTGCAGCCATAAAAATGAATTTCAATGAAATCAATGAATCCTGGATTTTAATATTCCAATACCTGAATACATGTGTGATAAGAAATATTAGAAATCTGAAATACAACTTATAAGCTCCTCTGAAGAATTGTTAATAATGCCAAATTTACTTACGGCAGTGTTGCCTCTCATCTGAGCCATCTTCACAGTCCTCCTCATCGTCACACACCCACACATCAGGGATACACTCGCCGTCACTCAAACACTGGAAATGACTGTCATCACATGTTACCTGAGCTGTGGGAAAACACACAGACCATTTCATTATTTACAGCAGTTCTGTAATCTAGTAGGAAAAAGTTACGATGTACATTTGCTCAAGTACAGTACTTCAGTGCAACTTTGAGGTACTTGTACTTGAGTGGTTTTATTTTATGCCACTATATACTTCTGCTCCACTTAATTGTAAATATTGTACTTTATTCTAAACTAGATTTTACAGCACTAAAGTTACTAGTTACTTTGCAGATACAGAGTATATATACAAAACATATAATCAATGTATGTGTGATACATTCACTGTTATAGATTAAACTAAATAGGAGCATGTCTACTTTTGATGCTTTAAGGATATTTTGCTGATAATACTTTTTTTAAGGAGGAATTAACTTGAAGTAAAGGATCTGTGTATTTCTTCCGCTACTAAATGTCCAAACCTTCTCAGACGTGATACAGTGTGATATAATGAGTAACTCACGGCAGTCGTGTTCATCAGAGTCATCCACACAGTCTGATGTGCCGTCACAGTGCCAGTCACCTGGTATACATCGGCCTGTCCCACAGCGGAACTGCCCCAACTCACATCCTGCACACAATCAAATGGTACATAATTCAGAGCTGGATTTCCAGAACTCCACTGTTACTGTTTCTCATCATTGTTTTAAAACTAAAAGCTATAAAAAATATAGTACCAAAATTGATAAACTCTTAAATGAAAACATTGCATATGGGGGGTAGGGATGCCTTCCACTGATGAAGCATATTGTTAACAGCATTGACAAGCCCTGGAGACAAGCGTGCCAGCCATCCCCCCGACAGTTACACAACCTTCACCGCACTCATCCCGAGCCCCCTTTTGATGTTCACGCTGAGTGGCATCTGTAGAGATAAGGTACCACCACTCTACCTTCCCAGACGTTTTCCAGGGGAGATTGATTCAGGCAGCATAGTTCAGTGGCAGAGCACTCCATCAGACCCGTCCAAATAGGAATGTGTGATTCTGATTGTCTCTCTGACAGCCTGATTTATGGTGTATGCTGTTCTTGTCCGGTCTGAAATGTAATTGGAATAAATAGTGGTACCGGGTGGTACCGCAACCATTTCAACCCAAATTCTTTGTGAGACGAGCTGTGAGGTGGTGATTGGTGGTGCATGCTTGGGGTTGGTTGTCTATCTCTGTCCTGCCTTATCCAGCATTTTGGAAACATTTTTCCTTCTTGATCAAATAGTTTACACTTTATATCGTATTGGAATTGCTTACTTAGAAACCCATAGCTATAGCTCTGCAATTCTACTCTAATGGCTTGAAGATAATAGTTACAAGGAAGAAAAAAAAGCCAACATGTGAGTTTACCTGAGCAGAAAATAGGAAGTCTTGAAGGTAAACTACTAAAAAATTAATTACCTTCAAACGAACTTATTGGCTTGATAAATGCAGCCTGAATGAGACTTTGATTGTGTTTAGAGTCAGAGGTTTATCACCTCCTTTATGTAATGTTCTCTTTTAAAGATGGATCTCTTCCACAACAGTGGTGGGGTCACTGCCTGTGCTACTGCACTAAAATCCTTGCATACGCTCCGATCAAGAATTCTTGTCTAAGATTTATTAGCCAGCAAATCACCAAACTGCTTTATGACCAACCCAGCAAAACAAGCTGCATATTTAACTCCTTCAGCACCTATGCAGGAGGCAATCCTGTTTTTCCTGCTCAGTTTACTAATGATAAAATTGCTCCCAATCTGCTCAAAGGGAGCCTTTGTTGCAAGGCAGTGATCCCACAGGTTTAAGCATCATCTATAGTATGGCAGCAGGGGCAAGTGTTGCATACAGTACACGAACGGCTACGAGATGTGCTCTGTTTAACAAAAAATACTTTTCCTTGACAGGGAAGCGAACACTCAATACATACATACGGATAATATTGCATGTTCAGACATCACCACTGTCTGTACAGGTCCACAAAGTTTAAAAAACAGAGACAAGATTGTCTTAATTGACATCAAATCAAATCAAAATGTGCTTTGGGAGGGATGAAGATGTTTATAGCTGCCATACATTCAGACCTTGGTTGACAACTTAAAACAACGTATGCCAAGGAGAAACCAATCTGCTGGAGGCTTTCAAATGCAGCCAGTGTTTCCTGACAGTATTACTTCTGGGAAAGGTGACAGATACACTGAAGCTGAACTTTTCAACAGCACTATCTTGTGTGAGGGATCTTCTTACATTCTGAAAAGAACGTCTTCTTTGTATCTGATCCTTAATCCACAAATTTCTATGTCCTGACAAAGTCACAATTTCACTATGTTAGTCAATATTAGGGAAGGTAAAGGCCAGGGTGAGTAGTGCAAATCTGCTATTAAGAATGCTTAATCTGGGTCTGATGAGCCACGTTTTTTTTATTAGTTTTTTGGTTAAGTGTAAGTGATTTAATGTTTTCCTTTCCCTTCTTTCTAGCCTTGTCTTTTCTAATTAGCAACTTAAATCCACAGCAGGAGAGAGCACCGCACCATCCATGCAAGAAGATAAGGACGCCCTACTATTGCCCAACAAAGAAGAGAAGTAGAGGAATTTTCATTAGAATGAAGCCCCCCAAAACGCCTTAAACCCCACTGTGAAATTACAATGGCACAAAAGAGGTGCCAGCAGGGATGCGAACTCATAACTGGAAGTGTCACCCTAAAAAAGGCACACAGCAGAAATCAGAGTACAGTAAGGCTACTTCCTGCGATAAGGTAAGCTCCCCTCTCGCGGCCACCCATTAAGAAAACAACCTGTCCACTACACGCCTAAACATCTCTTCCTTGTCACATGGCGCGCCTGAAAGATGTCTTCAAGCTTTCATCAATACCGTCTTGTTTTGGCCCAGCCCTCTGCACACACTGAATGTGTGTGGAGAAAAGTGGAGAAAACGGCTGCTGGCAGCATGAAACGCTGGACCTGTCCATGCTGTCAGAGCGAAGTGCTGCTGCCTATTTCATATGGAAATCAATGCAGCAGAATGCAGTCAATTGCCAAACAAGTGACTTTGGCTCTTACTGCTACACACAAAACAGTGAAAAACCAAGGGGCTTTGGCAGTGCCATGGGAGCAAAAGGGAGGGATAAATGGAGTGAGGAATAAAGCCTCAGTCTGGTTAGAATTGAGGAATACTCAACATGATTTCTGGTACGTGTCTTAACAAAAACATGAGTGAAAAGAAACATAAATTAAGTTGTCACAATTCAATGAGCCACTGGATAACTTATTTTTCCTCTTTACGTTGAGTATCGGTGCACCAACTGTTTACTGGAGGCTAAACTCCATCCTCTGTAACCTAGACTGAGAGAGCTGCAGGAAAAGAAAGGATTTTCTCTCCATTTGTGCCAACTGTGTTCCTGTTTCTAACGCAGTGTAACTGTTGCACAAGGATTTAGGCTCCTACACCGGAAAGAAGCCGGCATGTGTGAGGTTTAACATGCACGTGCTGGCCAAGTCTGTGTGTCTTGAAAAGTCTGAATATAACAATAGACATTTTAACGAAGTCATTGACTATAATTACATTAACGTGTTTTCATTAGTCTGTTTCATAGTGCTAAAAATCTGATTTGTAACACCATTAAAGTTCTTACTGCGCACTAAATGGGTTATTATGGTGAATGATTAATGGAGAAAACAACTCAATTTACTAAAAAAAACATGTGTGGAACAGCAAAAATAGCAGAGGACAGTTAACAAACCAGCACCATGAAATCCCCTCACTGTCACATTAGCTATTAATGCCAGCGTAAGCACTCTGCAGCAGTATCAAGCCCAAGGGCTGGATAATGTGTTACAGAAGGTCATGGAAGAAACAATTATCTAAACTAAAGGATTTTTGCAGAGGATCAGGCAGAGATTAGAGAAAGTACCCTGTGGCCTCATAGTAAAACTACATAAATACACCATTGCTAATTTGTCTGAGTATATGATTAAGTGACACATCTTTCAGTCCGATTCACACACCACCAGATTCAGGAAGCACTTCGTTCTCTAACATGGCATGGTAATTCACAATTGAGGTTAAAAATAAATGACCCCATGAATGTTATTGAAGCAGTCTAGTCCACTGTCTGTTAATCACAACAAATTCAAGACAATGATTAACGCGGACATGCTGACAAAGTCTTCTGAGAGCAGGCGGTTTTAGTCAAGTCATCATTTTATACACCTCAGTTAGCATCAGCAAAGTACTGTGACGGCTGTAATTCAGAGGAAATGCCAAGTGAATTTTCTAAATGCTCCAGTCTCAGTGGCAACACTGTTATAACTCCACCTTTTCTGTTTTTGTGTGTCTGTTAGCCAGTGAGGAAATATGTCTACAATATATTATAACAAATAAATAAGAAAGCTGTAGCCATGACACAAACTTTTAGTACATTTTCCTTAACTCCAAACTGCCCCTTAGGAAGAAATGGTTCCATTCTGCAGCAGCTGCAGTGTAATTAGTTGCTTGATTCACACTAAGGAGCTTATATACTAAGGGTTGAGCAAAAAGAAAGCAGATTACAGTTTGAGAAGCAGGATCTAGCTGGGCTACAAACACAGGCGACAAACACAAGACTGTCATGTACAAAGAGCAGCGTCTGAGCATTTCTGGGGGTCCGTCTCTGCCTCACATTAAGGGAAACACAGTTCTTCCCTCCAGCCCCCGAATCAAGTTTGAATCAGTAGAGGAGGGGGGGGCGGAGGGGGGTTTGCGGCGTTAAAATCTGCTCCACTGAATGAGATTTGTACCAGTAGCTCTCAGTCCTCGCAGATTGCCTGTAAGTCACATGCTCTTTTCTGTTACCTAGCAACAGTAAAGCTCAGGCAAAAGTTCCTCAAGAGAACTTCCAATCTGTCTGAGGAAGGCTTTGTGCTCAACCTTTAAAGTAATACTATGTGGCAAAACATTTAGCCCCAGAGCCACATTTACTTTACCTAGTAGCCACATCTAAATTACCGGAGGAGGTGAAAACAGTGGGGTTTTTCCTTTATTGAATCATCAAGAAGAAAAGGTATTTCCATGTGTTTCAAGCTGATTTATCCTCTTCGATGGCTCATCACAACCTGAACTGTTTAATACAGAATCATTTTAGTTCAGCAGCAATTCAATCCAGTTCCCCTTAGTGTGTGCCGCACAGGGGGAAGCTGTTTTGTTTTGATGAGCAACAAGTGCACAGGGTGAATCACTAGTAGCACAACAACTCTGCAGGTCCCTCAATGAATCATTCAGCTGACAGCCTCAATGTGAGAAAAGGCACAAAACAAAATAAAAATAAATAAATAAATAAAAAGGTCACACTACTTACCTTCAGATTGGCACCATCTAACACAGCATATGAAGACGAGGAGGAGTTTAAGTAGCAGTGCTCTCCACATTCTGGCTGGTCCGTCCAGCTCCGCTGTGCAGATGGAGGAGCTGTAGGGACTGGGGCTGGGATGCTGTTGCTTTCTTCTGTCTGTCTTTCTTGGCCCGCTAGTTGATGAAAAGGGGCGTGCACAAAGGACAGCCGCTCCCCCAAAGCCAGCCTCGGCCCTCCGGATAAATCCCTCTGGCCCTGGAATCTGCATAATGCCATGCAGGTCCGACTTGTCCCGAGTGCCAGTGATTTTTCACTCACAGCGGGCTATCATCTCTGTTTATTTGCCCCTCACTAGGGGGAATAGAGGTGGAGGGGGTAGTGACTGCGTGTGCTTGGGAGGAAAATAATGATAATAAAATAATAAATGTAATAAAAAAAACTACGAAAAGCCTTACGTCTGGGTGTCCTGGAGGCCCAGACGAGTCACGTAATCCCAATGTCGCCGGTTCGAGTGCGACCATGCATCTCTCTCTCACACACACACACACACACACACACACACACACACACACACACACACACACACTTCTTCACACTAGGTTGATATGTAGCTACAAGAAAGTGTGTTTTTATATCTTACACCAATGCTAAAGAGGTGAAAATGAATTAAGTTGCCATAGATTCCTTATTTATTATGAAATGGATGCATTTTATGTCCTGTAGGAACATTAATATTTCCCTACACTAGTGATTTATGAATAAAAAAACAATGAAATCGATGATACCGCCAGACAAAAACTGCCACATAAACGCCACCTAAGTTAAGTGAAACAAGATTTCACTCCACATAAGTTAAACTACTGCTTCTTCGACCATAATATTTTTTCTGGAGGTGGTCCATACCTTCTGATCGGCGCTGGCGGCCGATCAGAAGCCCGACACCTCCACCGTGCGGTCGAGCCGGAGCACAGACAGACAGACAGACAGACAGACACCTTGTCGTTAAATCCGAGGAGAGGACAGTTCAAACATGGTTGCCATTAGCGACCGAGCAACTTGGAGATGCTTACGACGAAAAGTGGAACCGAGCCTTGAGGAGGAGGAGGAGGGTGAAAATAATAACTTAAGTGTTTTTTTTTTCCCACGTAGAAACAGGAGAGGACGCTGGTTTATTCTGTCTTTAGTTTGTATTCGTCATGGCAACTCCACAGAGAAATGAAGAAAAGTGCCGGATGGCGGAGGGCAACACGATGGAGGTATGCCGAAGTTATCGGTGACACCGTTGATGAGTCCGCACCCAACTGTCACAGTTGAACCGTTAGCTGACGTTAGGGTTGCTAACTGACCTGCTAGTTAACGTCTACCATTCACAGTATGGTGTCTACTGAATACACGGCAAATGTAACAATTAATTATCTTAAATACGCAATTGTAACATTATACATGAGGTATGAGTGGTATTAAAATTAGTTTAAAAGTCTGTAAATATATATATATATATTTTTTAAAGCTAAGTAGAGCTAGGTTTAGCAAACGGTAAACTAACCGTTGAGTCTCTGTCATCCATCATTGTTCTCTGGTGTGTGATAATGTTACTTTATATTAAAAGTTTCAATACAATAAGACTTTATATACAGCTTTTAATTACAGTCGTGACTGATGAGGAATTGTGTGTATATTTTTAATGTTCTGTTGAAATAGTCAGCTAAAGTTAATCTAATCTACAACAACAGTACATTTATGGGCAAATATTATACTTTCTATTCCACCATATTTGAAATACTACATTGGAAATATTTGATATATTATGAATATATAAAGTAAGATAATGTGTTGTTTAAAATAAAACTACCAAATATAAAAAGGGAAAAGTAGTCCAAATGTATGTAATATAATAATAAAATTGACCTTACTGTAGATATATCGGTGTTGGTAATTGGACAATAGGTCTTTCGGTTCCTGGCCCTCGTCCATACACAGAGTAACTTTACTAAAAAGCTGCCAAAAACTTCAAAACACTGTCATGTTTTAACACAGATGTCTTTCCCCCTTATTCCTAGCATGTGGACAGTATTCAGAAGTCATTGGAGAAACTTCGGATCCTTTCTACAGAGGATACAAAAGAGATGCTGAGGTCCAGAATAGATGAACAGTCAAGTCTGATCTGCATACTGAAACAGAGAGCAGATGAGCTGCTTCTTCGGTGTCAAGCCCTGCAAAAAATCAACACGGAGCTGGAGGGCCAAGTAACAGACTACAAGAAAGAAGTGGACAGCAAAAGAAAGACAATAGATCTATTAGAGAGGAGATTCATGGATTTAGCTGCCAACAATAAAGCGATTATTGCTTTCATGGAGGAGTACAAAAATCAGAATGCCCATTTAAAGCTGGAGAACAAACAGCTGCAGTCAGAAAATGATACACTTTTCTCCAAAAAGTTACAAGATAAAGAAGTGTTTGTTCAAAAATTGATGCAAGAAATCCAACAGCTGACAGAGAAAAACACAAATAAGGAAAATGAATATCGGTAAGAAGATGAGTCTTTCAGTTATTAATAGTGCTCAAAGATCAATCTATTGATCTATCGACAGCAAGTTTGATCGTTTCATCTTATCCAGTAAAACTGCTAAACATTCACTGTTTTTCTCTGTTATTCTAAAGGTTTAGTCCCTTTATTGAAAAACGTCTCCACAGATCAAATAATAAAATACTCATCTGTCCTAGCTGTTAATTATTTACATTTCACAGTAATATTGATGATTTTGATGCTGTATTTTACATCTGTGTTATAGGGAGAAATTAGCTGGATGCCAATCAAAACTCCTTGAACAAGCCACTCAGCATCAAGTCAAGGAAGCGTCACTAATCCAACAATTACATGAAACTCAACAACAGCAAAGAGACGCTGTGAAGATGTGCAAAGGTGTGTAGTGAATGTTTTCATGATTCTCCTGAGTCTAACAAAATACAAGCACTTGTAAACTTTAGGCCTTCTTTCCACAATCAGACCTTAAGCTGCAGCTAGAAAAGGCTGAAGAAGAGCACGCCTTGGACAAAATCAACATGACAGAAAGCATAACAAGCCTCACCAAAGAGAAGGACAGATTATTGCATCTGTCTATGGACAGAGGGAAAGCAATACAGGTGATTGAAGAGAGGATTTTGTTCTCCTGACTTAAATCACAGATCTGCACAGATGAACCAATTCACTTCATAACCACACAAATTGGTTAATTACAGGAGAAACAAGAAGAAATCCAGCAGCTGGAGACAAAATGTAAAGAAGAGAAAAAAGCCCGGGCCGAAGCAGAGGACAGGTAAATTGTGCATCAGCAACATAATACTGCTGTGTATAACAATTGTTGTCCACCTCTATATCTGTCCCTGCCCTTCCTTTTAGGTTTGAGCGGGAAGCTGAAGCCGTCAATGCCGAAGAAAAAGTGAAATCTCTCCAGTCTGCTCTCGATGAATCCATGACAAAATACGTGAAGTTCAAAAAGGTTTGTTGAAATCTGCAATATTGAATAGTTAAGTCACTGACAGAGGCCAACATAGGGCTGAGAGCCTCAACATCTTTTCTTCTGTCATTATTTTACAGGATTTTGAAGCCTTCAAAGAACACAGCACCAACCTCCTCGTACAAGAAAAGGAGTTAAATAAGAAACTGCGCCACATGATCGGCTAAACCTTCACACTGTGCGTTTTCATTAAAACAAATAATTTTCACCAAGAACGTTTGCTCACTGATAATTTATATATCACAACATCTTTATTTATTTCGTCACCTTGCATGAGAAATAGAACAACAACACAACATACTTAGCATGACATGTTAGAAGTTCTTCAAATAGAAATTATACTGTACAAATGTGTATCTCATAAAACCTTACAGACAAATCACTTAAGAATGCTCCTCTGCCAGTTTCTCGGCCTTCTGGACTACTTCTTCGATGGGACCCACCATGTAGAAAGCTTGCTCTGGCAGGGGATCGTATTCACCTTGAAGAGAGAAAAGAATAACCATCAAATGTCCATTAAGGTCATCCCATTTAGAAATTCAACAACGTTGGTGCAGCACTCTACCTCCGAGAATGCTCTTGAAGCCTTTGATCGTTTCCTTAAGAGGCACCAACTTCCCCATGTGGCCAGTGAAGACTTCTGCTACCTGGAAAGGCTGCGACAAGAAACGCTGGATCTTACGAGCGCGAGCTACAGTCAGCTTATCTTCCTCAGACAATTCATCCATACCCAGGATGGCAATGATGTCCTGCAATGATTTATAGTCCTGGGGGGGAAAAAAAGACGACAAGGTTTCAGTTTAGCTTTTGGATTGCGGATATGGTTAACAAGATTCAACATCATCCAACATAAGGCTTGCCTGAAGAATCTTCTGCACGCCACGAGCAACGTCGTAGTGTTCAGCCCCGACAATGTTGGGGTCCATGATACGGGAGGTGGAATCTAGGGGGTCCACAGCAGGATAGATACCGAGCTCGGCAATAGCACGGGACAGCACAGTTGTGGCGTCCAAGTGAGCAAAAGTTGTGGCAGGAGCAGGGTCAGTTAAGTCATCAGCTGGCACATAGATAGCCTGTAACAAAAAGGAGCAATTTTCATATGAAGACTTATTTAAAAAAAAAAAAAAAAAAGAGTGTGTGCTGACGTTATTAGCATCTTGGATGGTCTCACTTGTACTGAGGTGATGGAGCCCTTCTTGGTGGTGGTAATTCTCTCCTGCATGGTCCCCATATCGGTGGCCAAGGTGGGCTGGTAACCCACAGCAGAGGGGATACGACCCAGCAGGGCAGACACCTGAAGAACAATTATACAATATTCAGTACATAAAAAGGTTATTTTGTTGATTAAACCTGCAAATAACAAAAAAATGTATCATATATTAGACATTGCATACCTCTGATCCGGCCTGGGTGAACCTAAAGATGTTGTCAATAAAGAGAAGCACATCCTGTCCCTCCTGATCACGGAAGTATTCTGCAACAGTCAAACCGGTAAGAGCAACTCTGGCACGGGCACCTGGGGGCTCGTTCATTTGACCGTACACCAGCGCTACCTGAGAACACGAAGACAAGAATTACCTGGGGAGTTTAGCCAGAGTTTACACCGAATATTTTTACATGAAGCCATCAAAACTGCATCTGACATACTCTGCTAAAGCATCCAACACAGAAGAGCTAAACAGAGTTTTAACAAAAACACACTGCTCATTGAGGGTGTCACCTTTGAGGTGGTGTCCTTCAGGTTAATGAC